CCACGATTCAGGCTACCCTGTTCCTTATTAGCCGAAAATATTTTTTTGATTTTTTTTTCGGTAAAAAAAACTGAAATCCGGCAAAAATCCGGCAAATTTTTTTCCAGCCGGAGCCGGAACCGGAACCGGATTTTGAAGCCGGATATCCGGCCGGATCACCGGATTCAGCCGGATTTCCGGTCGGTTCCTAGTGCAGGGTAATATCCTTTTGTTGCGGCTTGCGGTACAATCTGCTGGTTAATTTACCGTTTGGCTCGATCCGGACCTCAGTGTTTAGGAAGGGGATAAAATCGTCCTGTTGTTCTGGAAAGTCGACCTCCCACTTCAACTTTTTGTCCGGATCTTGGTCTGCAATCTGTTGAACCAGAGCAAGGGCTCTGCAATATAGCAATATAGCAATATAGCAATATAGCAATATAGCAATGGCCAATTGGCTGACTATAAGGTCATGGCCTGAACAAACAATTTTATTAAATAGTCAAGTGATGCTAAAGCAGAGCACAAATGTGTAATAAGTTAATAGATTTTTTTAAAAACTGAATAATAACAATAGCTGAAATAATTAAATAGGGAAACAGACCCACTCTCTCTCTCTCTCTCTCTCTCTCTCTCTCTCTCTCTCTCTCTCTCTCTCTCTCTCTCTCTCTCTCTCTCTCTCTCTCTCTCTCTCTCTCTCTCTCTCTCTCTCTCTCTCTCTCTCTCTCTCTCTCTCTCTCTCTCTCTCTCTCTCTCTCTCTCTCTCTCTCTCTCTCTCTCTCTCTCTCTCTCTCTCTCTCTCTCTCTCTCTCTCTCTCTCTCTCTCTCTCTCTCTCTCTCTCTCTCTCTCCCTGGCCCTGGAGTCTTGAAGCTGTCGCTACCTGGCTCAGAGCAAACCCACTTCCGTTGTAGTACTTCTGCGGGCAGACAAGGGACTTCCCAGCAAGGTCAAAGCCTGGGAGATATGTCTCTATGCGGAGATGGGCCTAGGTTGAGTTCCTAGTGTGGGATTTGGTAAAAGTTCCTGGTGAGTAATCCAAGGAGGTTACCCAAACGGGTTTTCCCTATATATACTATCCAGTCTTATCGACTGTTCCACAAATTTGAAGATATGGTTGTAGTTTACTGTTATAAATAATCTTCCGTACGGTTTACCAATTATCCTCATTCTGAGCTTCATGATCTGGATGCACTTGCAGAGGAAGTGCTGGGATGTTTCTGCTTCTCCTGAAAAGTGTTCACAATCTTTTGTTTCGAAGTTAACGTTGTTTGCCACGTTCTAAAAGTAAACTAGTGGGCTGTGACCTAATATCCTGACAGCAACCATGTTACATGTTAGCCATCTGATGTGAGTTCCAGAAATTTAAGTTCCTGTATTTATATTTGTGGAGGAACATCTTCATATCATATCAGTGGAATGTTCCTTTGTCACTGAGTGTGGCCTAATTGGGAGGAAGGTTCTGGTCACAGGGGTGTAGGAAGCAGGGGGCCAAGCTCGGCGATGCCCAGTAAGGCATCTAGCCGATCAAACGAAGAGGTTGCGAGAAGCATAATTGAGTGCGCGGCGCAGCCCAGTAACTTGACGGATGTTACTCGTCTAAATTTTTTCGAAGTAGCGCGCGCCACTTTCTTCTCGAAATTTTACTGCTACGAAGTAGCGCGCGCCGGGCCAGACCATTAACAATGGTCAATCCAGTAACGCATTGCGCTACACCTATGTGGTATGTTACTGGGCGGCGCTCAGCCTGTCATTCCGCCGAATCTTTATTCGGGCTGAGTGAATTACGACCTCCATCGCCCTGAAAAAAGTGCAAATGCTCATTGGATGTTAGAGCGCACGTGACTAGCATTCACGTGATCGTTCAGATAGAACCAATTACAGCCACGCAAAATATCACGTGCATGCCAACTACCAATTGGAAAGAAGTGGGGTATGCGCTACAAGAGCCGCGCGCTGAGTTAGATTGTAACATCTGATTATTTGACTGTACAATCGCATAAACGCGACTACTAGCGCGTTTTAAAGGGTTCAAGTAGTGCTGCAAAATTTTGACACAGATCAATAAACGGATTTTTATAATTAACGCAAATTTGGAGCCGCGCAAGCGAACATAAACTAAAACTTAAAGCTTAGCGGACCAACTTTTAAAAAATTCAGTTTAGCCTGAATCGTTTGCGTTTATTCATTGTCAGATCTAGATCTAGATCTCACGAGTGCGTACAAATTTAATTTAACTAGTTTGCTAGTATAGTATATTGCTTGTTTTCTTGAAATTGTTGTTTTCTTGCTTGCGTTTCTCACAGATTACCTAACGTGAAAAACGTGCTGTGCGAAAAAGTTTCAATTTAGTGTTTTTTACTAAAGTTTCATAAAAATATTTTCTGAAAAAATCGAAATATTTTATCAAAAAGATCAATTTTTGGTTGGTGAATTTTAATTCATTTAAAGTATTAGTCCCTCCGAACCCTCAACTTTTTCGAAATGTAGATGAATAAGAAAAGATTATCAATATAAATAAAATGTTAAACATTTTTGATATGTCTACAAAGACCTGTTTCACATAAGTAGAAATTAACATTCACAGCATCGGCTAAGTTAATGATAAGAAGGAATTGAAAATGTATACATGTTAGCGAATCACTATTCAAGAATCTTGATATGGAGGACTCTTTCGGTGTTGGTTATAAAGAAATAGAGCTTGTTAAAGTTAAAGCATTTTTGAAACCTGCTAATTGAGACACCTCACAGCACCTAATTGGCTCTTTTTTGTGAAAGGTTCATCAACTAACCGCCGAAGCGGTGGGTTAGGAGTCATCCCTGTGATCATTTCGTCCGTAAAGTTTTACACAATACCAAAACTGCAATAAATGATTTATAAAATTTACATAAACAAATGTAGGATACCTTAAAGCTCGTCTTCTGAGGGATGAGGTTGAAGGATACGTAATTCAGTCCAAGATGCTGGGCTGTTTGCCGTCATCTGATTCCATTGAGTGTGATGGATGTACTTTGTAGTAGATCAAACCTAAATCGTGGTATGAGTGATTTTTGACCTGATGTTGGCTCCTTTTTTGTGATCAGATATCATCTCTGAGATACCATATACGAACACAGTGCAGAGCGGTCCCATACCTCCAGATGTTGTGAAGACCAGTGGGACCAAGTACCCTTTCGCTAGGACTGAAGTATTCTCTCATCATAGAGATCTTTCTTATCTTTCTCATGCTCACTCTAGATTTTATCTAGTGGTTTAAACGTTTTTGAGTTTCAATTCGAAGGTGTGACCCTGATGTTAAGCAATGCTCTTTCGAAGGGTGCATAAAGTTCAACAGCTGCTACATCAAGATGGGCTTCATCCTGAGTGTTGGTCTTCTAGGAGAATTTAGTTGGTTGGACAGGCAGGAGTGCGGGTTCTATCATTAAATCCTTACACATAGCTTCTTGAAGGAAGAAAGCTGCAGTGTCTCCTATGGCATTGTGGCGCATGGAAACATATCCACGCAACTTACAATCACTGATCATGGGCATGGATACCCAAGGCTATACAATTTTTTTACTATAGACTACAATCAGGATAGTTGAAAGTGACAATTCATGGAAATTCAAATGCTATTTCGCAGCCGTTGGCGTTGTGGAACCATTTGAAACAAGACAGGCACAAATAAGACACCATTTAGAAAATTTGTATTGGAGCATTACCCCGAATGCTAACATTTATTCGAATCATGTGGAGCAATTGGCAGAAGACAGTAGAACGAGACATGTAATGGAAATGGTCATTGGAACATGATTTTCCTTAACAGCAACAACATCTCCTGACACCCTGAAAGCTATGACATTAAAATAATTTCTGACTTTATGTCACAGCCTAAAGAGAATATACAGGGCACTGGGGAGCATATATAAGTAACTGTGCAAACAATGGATCTTATTTTACTTTACTTTACTTCAAATTTATTAGATCCTACGAGTGATTGGATCAAGTCGATGTGCGCATTTTCAATCCTAAATCGCCTACACATCAAGGAAAGACCATGCCACAGGTCTACACTCTGCACGAGAATGAGAAAAAGAACCAGTACATGAACCGAGTGCTACAATTGGAGAAAGGGTCATTCGTCCCCCTTGTATTTACCACTACAGGAGGAATGGCACCGGAGGCCAAGCGTTTCATAAACAGACTTGCTGTGTTGATAGCCACCAAGACAAAGGAGGACTAGCCGGGGCTCATGTCTTTCCTCGAGGGAGCATTAGTGTCTACAGAAAAACTGACAAATCCCAGCGAAGTCCAATCCGAACCACATCTTCCATCAGAGGTGGTGCTGGGTCAGCTGGTTACTGAACGGATTGGCCTGGAGAATGGCATAGTCCTGTTACTCTCAAGTTAACCATAGAGGGGGACAGGCGCTGTTCGCTCACGGCTGGTTCTTGGAGCCAACACCCTCAGCCCCACATAAGTGGGAGCACTGTCGGTGGTGGCTCACCCAGATAACGGACAGTGTCTCTCCTTCTTTCTTCTTGGACTTGCATTGTTGCTGGCGAGTCAGCCAGTAGCAATGCAGCATCTCACTCACTCAATCACCTCAGCAATTCGGTCCTTTTTTTTCATTTGCATTACTTTCGCTCATTCTCCTGTCATAATGCATTCTCTGCTACCATAATGCCTTTCTTACCACGGTGTAACGCATGTTACACCTTGCGTCTTTCTCTAACACCATCACCATTTCAGCAACCTTGGAATTTCAACCCTACACAGGAACACAGCACTATGGATATCCACTCTCCACTCTACAGCGAACACAAAGCTAGAGATCTAATTAGGATTCGAGTACCCCGGCTACCCTTGTGACATACATACGTGGAAACCAGTTTAAGCAGCAGTACATCAACACAATGGATCAGCACTACGAAATCTGATATCTGCATCATACTACTCCGATCCAGAAATCTTCGATAAACCATCACATGTGATGAATAACTGCAAGTTGGACTCCACATAACATTATTCCTTGTTCTGATCAGTCAATAAATGTAATCTGCATCAATTTTCCAATAATTACATCTTCTTACTAGTTTATTTTCTCCTCAGGGCTGGAACGCAATGTTACAGCCCACTTTATAAATTACTAAAACTAGAGTTATTCCAGATTGACGACTTGACACAGATATTCAGCAGACAACCTAAATAAGGGACTCCCACTCTCCAAACCAGTAGAGATCCAATCACTGCCTCCAGGGTACCCCTTCATCCGGTATTAGCAGTTCCTCCACCACCACCAGGTTAGAACACTCCCACTAATCACCCCTAAAAAACGAACCTACCGCCTTGCTCCACCAAACACAACTTCAATCAAATCCAGTTACTCAAACCGGTTAAATCCGTCCTTCAAATTTCCCGCATTAAACGTAACGCGCGAACGCCATACAACTCAAGGATGTAGCAACCTAATAGTCGTCATTTTTCTAACAGAAAATTTAGTGCGCGCGCGAGCCTGCGCGCGCGCGAGCTTACGACTAATCCATGAGATTACGACTAATTCACATAATTGAACCGTTCCATCACTCCAGGTTGATCTGATTAGTAAACTCAAGGAAGATGATACCAGATCAGTCCCGAACTTCGCCTCAGCATCATACTCTGCCTAGTGTCGATAAAGAGGATTCACAAACAATCGAGATTCACTTACAAATATTTGCTATTACTTTCTACAATTGCAGTTATATTCGTTGTTTTAATTATCTCCATCAACCTTGAATCTATCACTGCCAATACTACATTCCCAAAATTATCCTAGCGCTCTTTCATCGTCAGTCCCCACTAGTTCACTACATACGCCAACCAATAAACCTCAATTAGGATGGTTTTTGCAACACATTCTACAAGCTTAGAACTTATAAAGTAACAGCACCATCTTAACCCACACATTACCTTCGCACAAATCAGCTATTCCCCATTCACTCACAAGCGTCGACATATCTCCGCATGTACATCTGTAAACTGGAGCGGCCCCCCGCGATGCGGAGCAGGTGAGCTACCTGGTTCGGGCTACTTCACTTATCAGAGTACGCTAGCACCACAATACACTCGCTTCAAGCCCTCACACCTCAGATTTGCACGCATCCATCACCTTCACAGGGCCGGCTGCCCACATCCTGTAAAATCCTGATTCTACATGCTCGCGGGGTCTATTACCTGTTTGAGCTCTATTATTACGCGCGCGTGCCCAGTGTACAGCTCACCGGCTTGCGCTGTCCTCTTGGCATTGTTGTCGCCTTTATGACCTTCAAATCTAAAAGTAGGTTGAGGGCACTACATGGGGTCTAGCGCTGCCCTGTGTCAAAATACATACATACATACATACAAGGAGGACTACAGCCAGGTGATGTGTAACATCAGGACACGCCTGAGCATGGATATAATGAGGAGTGTGCTAGTAGCAGTTAGAGGTGTACGTGGAAAGGCAAAGAAGGCATGGACTGCCCCTATATCCAATGTCTCCTTCAACCTGATACCTGAGGAGAAGAGCTACGAGGGATAGATGATATCTATTGCTCAGGATTTACGATTGTGCTCTTCCAATTGCATCACTTGATTTAATTTATTGTATATATATACTGTTTGACATTTCTTCAAGTCGAATAGTAATGAATTGAGTTTGGCAGTTCAAATTGTCCTGGTAAGACTGTTTGTTCATTATGTGGGATCAGGTGATTGGGTTGACACTATATCCACACTATGAGATGTGTGCAGTATCACACAATCAAATGATTACCTAGTCAATTTTGCTAATGAGGTAAACAAAAGGCTACTTGACTACTGAACCCAATTTTGACTTTTCCTAGAGGACACGTTTTTTTTTAAGTGTGGTGAGTTGCTGATTTCACCTTTTTCAAAGTAGAGTGCACAAAATGAGGAAAAAGTCGCAATGTTTTTAAAGTGCAACCATAAATTTGTACATAAGATGAAGAGGAAATATTCAGCAGTTGTGATTCGAAAAAACGAAGTGCCAGGCTCAAGCAGAATATGACTTATGAGCAATTAAACTGAGTGCCAAAAATCAGCAAACCATTTTAACCTCCAATTGACTAATTCCATTGATTTCGCCATATTTTGCTCAAATATTGTTCACATTACACTAGTAGATTGGAGTGAGTAACTGTTTTCAGCATTTTAGTCATTATTAAAAATTCCAGTAAGTGACAGAATTCAGTCATAAGTCATTTTAATATCTGAATACGACTGCTCTATTAATGGTTCTTGTCAAAATATTAAAAACATCAAGGCATAACTGTGTTTTTTTCTGGATAATATAATGTTTGGTTGTGTCTTTAAACTAATTCCTACATGTCTATGTGCCAGCCATCAGCAAAAAGTCACACATGTATCAGCTTGAAATTTAATTTTTTCTAATTGATGAAATAAGTATCGAAATTTCAGTTCTCTTGTTCAGTCACCATATTGACTTTTAGATTGAAGGTGCCATTAATCAGTTAAAAGAAGGCTTGAACTCTGTACTGCTTACACTCAATTATGTCCCGAGTGCCCAAATTCAGCATATCAGTCATATAGATAAATGATGTAAAAAGACAAAAATTGTCTATTTCTTGATCCATGGGTGTACTAGTGTTAGTTTAAGCATCTATTTCGAAAAGTAATGTGTTCATAAAGAGGTCAAAAACAGATAATAATATTAGAGTGCCACTAATCAGCTGTAGTGACTGCTGCAGCCAACGTGGGAATTACCAACTATTGTAAGTCAATATCAGCACTATCATCTCAAACCACCGAATTGTTTATGTTTCAGATACGAATCTTAGTTTAGTTATATCCTGATAATTTGAACAGCGTATGTGTCCTGAAAATCAGTAAAAAGTGACTTATTTGACAGAAATAGTCATTCTTACTGCTAAATGGCACTCTTCTTAGTTCAAAATATTGTTTGAGGGAGCGGTGTGCCTTTTTTGTTTAATGTGGCACAATTTTGTTGCACTGTGTGCCATTATTCAGCTTAAAATGACTTCTTTTTTAGGCATATACCAATGGTAAATCACATAAAATGTTTGCTTTGTAAGCAGTGTTGTGATAACCTGCTATAACTAACTTAAAACTGGCACAATGAACTTCAAACATCAATAGTATTTGCCAAATTTCCATGATGAACATAATATTGTTGTCAGAAATCTACTTTATCGTGCCAATAATCAGCAAAAAGTCATTTCTATGAAGATTTTAAGCTAAAAATATTATTTATAAAATGACTTTTTGCTGAATTAGAACCCACAATATCGTTAGATTTTGTAAAGAATCATCTTGATGAACCTGCCTATGCTGTCAGACATCAATTGTATAGTGCCAATATTCAGCAAAGAGTCATTTCTTTTGAATTTTTAATCGTGATGAATTTGACCTAAAAATGACTTTTTACTGAAAACTGACACACTCTTAATTTGATTTTCGAACAGAATGCTGTTGAGCAAACTTATTCTCGACAGTATGATTGAAAAACGTTCTAATTTGTTGCTGTCTAGCTACTGCAATGTTAAAAAATCAATTGTAATTTTGTGAGTGAATTTTTACTGAATACAGGCACACAATAGGTTTTTCCTAGGTTACATTATTACATACCAACGTTTCTTGAAAGTTGTTACAGTTCATTCACAAGCTGATCAAAAGTATGGGCCTTGTTCAACCACTTTAACCAAACTAGAAATTTTACCAAACAAATGACTGTTTGCTTATTTTGAGCACAGTTCAAGTATTCCTACCAAAATCCAAATATTCTTTGAATAATTCTGAGACATAATCTGAATTTTGAACAGAAAAGTTGCAAAATTCAGTTTTTTATGGGCGTTTTCAACATTATAGTCCAAAATGCTGAAAACTGGCACTGCCTTGGTACGATATTATGACATATTAACTAAGTAATGGATTTTCCTTACAGGGGCAGTTAAGATTGAAGGTATATCTGTGCAACACTTTCTAGTTACTAGTCATTTCACTTTCACTGTCAAAAGTGTCATGGCACTCAAAGTCATTTTCACCACACTTAAAAAAAACGTGTCCTAGACAGGGTAGCTTGGGAAAATAATCAGTCTACCTAATTAACTTTGAAACGACAACTGAACCCAATCGTCACTAGAAATAACTAACAGATAAACAGGTTTCCAAATACCACTGCTCTAGTTTAGCTGCTGCTTGGTTTCTACTGCTATAAGGCAGAACGAACAGAGACAATATTTCATTGATGTAAATTTGAATAGGTATTTGTAATATATTATAATAATTATTACTCAAAAAATTGTCTTTTCTCAAAATCTCACAAAGTCATCTTGATCAGTTCATCATCAGCAAGATCGTGTCCAAAGCACTTAGCAATGGCCAGTAACATGGTGGAAGGAAACCTGGTCTGGGGATATTCAGGATCCACCATAATGATTGAGAAGTGGTTCCATAACTCGGTCAGATACTTGGGGGTGGTTCTAGAACCACTCAAGCAAGCCAAACCAAGATAACTACGCTCAAAGTAGTGTACCACATCCAGGAGCAAAGGATAAGTACTGGCAATGTGAATGGACAGATCCTCAAACGCATCATCAATACTGGACAATGGCACAAATGCCAGAAAAGCCTATAGAGGCTTGAGCAAATTCCTTGTCACTGCAGTATTGGACCTTGAATGTTTTGAAGATGCGCTTCTGAACACTCTGACAAAGGTGAAAGAAGCAGTTCATCAGGTTGAACTTTCCTGAGAGGTGTTAGTCGGCTTTCCGCTTCAATTCTGCTCTGAACTCTGCTTTCATTTTAACTCTGTTTTGTATGTTCTATTGCAATATATAAAAATGCTTGGTGACTTATGCCCCCCCCCCCCCCCCCAAAAGTTCTGTTGTGAAATTCTCTGACTGGTATATTGTTTGTGCCTGCTCTACTGAAATTCGTATTTGTTTAGTCTAACTCCAACTTAACTTCTCTCAGGATGCCACCATGAATTGAAGGGACAAAGAGTTAAAACGGAGTCAAAAACCACCGAAAACTATTCGCCCGTAGCATGAGCAACCAGAAAAGGGTTTCAGGGAGTGAAGGATCTCGTGGTGATGGCAACAAAGCTCCGTCTGGAGGAAGCACCAAGTTGTCTCGGGATGCATGTGGTGCTCGAGTGACTACTGTGCTAGCCACTACTGGCTCAAAACCTGACCGAGGGTGTGATGTTTCTTTTACGGACATGAAAATGATTGGATATGGTTCATTTGGATATGTTTATCGAGTAAAACTGGTCGAAAGCAACGAAGTTGTTGCTATAAAGAAGGTCCTCCAAGATAAACGTTTTAAAAATCGCGAACTTGAAGTTATGAGAAAGTTGGATCACTGCAATGTGATTAGATTACGATACTTCTTTTATTCCAATGGTGAAAAAAGGGAGGAAGTTTACCTAAATTTAATTCTTGATTACTTTCCAACAACCGTGTATCAGGTAGCTAGACAGTACAGCAGGCAGAAACAAATGATCCCCATCTTGTATGTGAAACTGTACATGTATCAGTTGCTACGAGCGCTAGCCTACATTCACTCATTTGGAATATGTCATAGGGACATAAAGCCGCAGAATTTGCTTCTACACCCCGACTCTGTAGTTCTGAAACTCATCGATTTTGGTAGCGCTAAAATCTTGGTTGAAGGGGAAGTGAACGTTGCTTACATCTGCTCCAGGTATTACCGGGCACCTGAACTTATTTTCGGTGCAACGAATTACACCTGTGCCATCGATATCTGGTCTGCTGGATGTGTGTTAGCGGAACTTCTTCTTGGTTCTCCCATCTTTCCTGGGGACAGTGGGGTGGACCAGCTTGTCGAAATTATCAAAGTTCTTGGTTCACCTACAAGAGAACAGATAGCAGAGATGAACCAGAGTTACACTGAATTCAGATTCCCTCACATAAAACCACACCCCTGGAAAAAAGTTTTCCGACCCCAAACACCGGAAGATGCGATTGAACTTACTTGTAGACTCTTAGAATACACTCCTAAAAGTCGGCTGCATCCGTTAGATGCTCTGGCTCACGAGTTCTTTAACGAGCTCAGAATCGAAGGTGCAAGGACGCCCCCTCCATCTAGCCGTGAACTTCCTCCTCTGTTCAACTTCAGCGAACAGGAACTGAGGGATAAGCCCCAGCTGCGCGCCACCTTGATACCATCGCACTTCAGCACCATCATCTCCAACGGTCCTTAACCTGTACCCACTAGACTCTCGTCGTGGAGAACAACATTTGAATCGGTTTTAAGTTGCTTATTTTAGTTCAATTAAAGACGTTGGTTTGTATCATATTACAATGGTAGCTGTGAGCCCATGTTCGTTGCCGATATACAATAGTGGGTTGACCAAGAGACAGTGAATTTAAAGTGATTTGTGCTATCCCCGTTCAAGATGATAATTCCGATTAATTAAGTGTCAGAGCTCAAATGAAATTCTATGAATTTGTGATCGAATTTGTATTGTTCATGTGAACATGAAAGGTGTACCTGTGACTTTACTCAGATGGCGTTTACAGTAAGTACTCATGTAGTGATTTCGCTGCAATGATACAAAAAACGTACAGTTCGGAGTAAAAGGAACTAGTCGGTTTGCTCACTGGAGTGAACTTAAGTAAAAATATGTCAAGACGTTTGAGATGTTCACATTAACTTTCCATCTACAATTACATCAACCATTTTTGATCTGAATAAGTGCAGAATGTTTCATACAGTTGCTCTTAAACGTTCAAGTTCTAGATCATAGCTGATAGAGTTTAAAGTTTTGCGTTCTAGCGTTTGGGGTGACCTCCTCGAAATGTCTCTAAGATACGAGCACATTCCCGCTCATGCTAAGCTTATCTTGTTAAAAGCGTTCGGGTCAAAATTTTAAATTATGAATAAGGCTGGCCAGTTGAGCACATGTAGTAAACTTTGTAAAAACATTCCGGTGTTACCATGGGTGCAATGCAGAGTTACAAAAACCGACATTCCAGCTGTACATCCATTCTGTGTGCACCAGACTAGTCCGTGAAAGTTGGAATATTTATTAACACAGATGATGAGATATTGAGAGTAAATAATGGAATGCTGTTATTGATTCGTTGGTTTTTGGGTTACCCATTTGGGCCAATTTTTGCTTTATAAACAATAATAATGATACAAGCTGTTACTGTAATCGATCGGTTATAATTTATATTAACTAGTTGAACTAAATAGTTTTGTACTCTGTGATGATATGATTACCTAGTCAAAACTGCTTTCCCACATGTGAACAAGTTTATTTTAATTTTAAAATATCGCTAGTATTCGAAACAGGGCTTTCAGGGTTTGAAAATACTTCATCGTTCCCAGTAGCTGATTTAATGATGAAACCATTCAGTTGCAGTTTATGTGTAGTTTGATGATCTGAAATTAAGTTGTTAATATTTGATGAAACTATGAAAGGTCTTGTTAAATATGAACTTCCCATACTATATTCATTCTATACTCATAATGTTATAAGCTATTGGGTAATACTTAGAGAGATGCATCTTGGCAGTGGCTGAGTTTAAGAAGAATAAGAATAAGAAATGAACTAGATATATTAGAAAACAGTACTGTTCTGTTTCTAACGCATTGTTCGTCTAATGAAATATTTTGTGATCATTAACGTGTTTTACTGGTTTACTGAATTTCTCTTCATTTTATAAATTACATTACTGCGTGTGACTCAAGCCATTCATTACACGTACTATTAATCAAGCTTACTGTGCACTAGAGCAACGTGTGTTGTCTTACTTTGAAAAGTACTGACGGTCTTCGAAGAGTAAAATCGTAAAATTCACGAATTTAGCCAACATTTCACGATTAATATCCAAAGCACATATTATATTGCCTCTAGATGACAGATGTACTATGTACTTGTGATAGAAATGTGGAGCCGCCGAAATTCCTGCTAGATCTCAGAATAATTCCCGGCAGGCTGTAACTTGTACTAAACGTGCTAAAAGGCTGAACTGATGTCAAATCGGAACTACCAAACGCCTTCGTCATTCACATTATCTTCAACGTTACCAATATTTGACGCCATTAAGATTCCATACTATATTGTCAAATAAGGCAATTTTAAAATATGTAGGCTACTTGCTTTGACGTCAACTGACGTATGAGACCGCACTTCGAAATTGACATGCAAGTGCCGATCCAGTCAGATTTCAGAATAAATTTAAATGTTTTGAAAACAAAAATAAACATCGTACATGTTTAAAATGAGTAATTCTTTTCTTCAATCTAGGAATTGTAATATCTAGACAGAACGTATTTAAACGCTGCTAATGATCATACATGTTAAGTTATGCAATTACTGATACATCTCTTCCAGATAATGTGTATAATTTAAAGAATTTTGGAGCACCCTCTTGCTTCTCTTCTCTGAGTAAATAGTTCATTGTTCTGTTTTTAGCGCTTTAAGGTACCAAAATTAAAATCTCATATTTTGAATAACCACCACTCAGTAAAACAAAGCTATCAGTAAAACAGCCCCGTATATAGAGCTCCGAGGTATCGGCTAGACAATTTAACCATTTACTCGCAGCTCAACTCTCTTTACTGTATACTGCTTCTTTACTGTATACTTTACGAAGTTATAAAAAGGGTAAAAATACAATTCCGCAAATAATGGAGCAGGTGTGATGCACTAACTAAGAGCATATTTAATAGTCTCTCTGTAGTTAACGATTCTAACTGTATTGTAAACGTAACGTGCAAAGTGTCCAATAGGAACAGTCCATGTAGTATTCCTGCATGATAACATTCTTGTGATTAGCTTATTTTTCTCACACAGACACACGCACACTTAAACACTACCAATCCGACTGTCTCTTATCTCGTATCGCAGATTCTGTAGCACAGAACTGACTGTTCTTGGAATATGTCTTATCCGTAAGATGCGTGACAATAAGTAAAATATTCGGCCTCGTGATGATGTCCCGGAATTTGAATGTCACGATGTTATTTACAGGAGCTATCTATATTCGTCAGAACAGCGTGTGTACTGTGTAGTACAGAGAGGACGCATCAGAGTCAGTAGTAGCCTGTAAGGGGGAAACACGTGGTATTTATAATACGTTAATGTGCCATGCTCAGCTACAAAGTGAGCCAATGTATTTGTCGTGTGGCTAGACTCTGAAAATGAGCTAAGCGAGAAGGAGAGTAACTGTTACTCACTGTTAAGAGACCACTTTATCAAGCTCTCTACCTAACTCTCTGCTTGTGTCGTGACGTATTATAAGGTCTGTGCTAGACTCTACATGTAGGCTCTGATATTTACTCCAGGGATAATGTCTTGCTAATGCTTTCAATCAGACCAGTAGACTCGTAATTAGTGGTTAAACTCGACCTGTAATCCGGTAGTATAGAACACACAGCGCCATGACAACCCCTACTATATTATATCCTGACCAGTTGCAGTCCGGCTAACGATTATCCCGGAAAAAGGTTTATATTTGATAATGGGCTCTCACAATAATTGTTGTGTGTACGTAAAACTGTATCCGTTGTAATGTGTAATGGTGGTGTGTTCAAATACAGTGTATTTCACACGATTAAAATATACATATTAAATCTACTGGCACACATACTGGCATATAGACAGGTGCAGTGTCAGGAACAACCTGACACATGATACCAGTAAACATAGGTACACCGACCCAGTAGTATTAGTAGCATTAGTAGTAGTACACCGCAGTGTCTAGTGATTTGTTAGATAAGCTTTTACGGAGTTACAGTATAATAACAGTGTACACATCGCTATGATATGGTAGACTGGTAGAGATCACCATGTTAAGTGCTCCATGACACTTGCTACTAATACATATGGCAGTTTCTGACTTAACCCATTAACGTGCTCCATGCTGCACTGGTCGACAGTAAGGTCGAAATTTTAAAAGTTGATTGGTCCTGAAGAATAAGCAATCACTTACGTAAGCTGTGCAATGTGCATCAGCTCCCCCGGCCCCATCGGCTGTTTCGATTAGTATTCTTCATTATAACATGTCAAGCATGAGAAACGCCTTAACTACATTATTTATGGAGACCTAATCCGATGCAGCTTTTAAGTTTTAACCATACTTTCAACTAGTCGTTCGGCAAAATAAGCAAATCGTATCCACATTAATCAAGTTGAGCACGAGTCTGTGATTTAACTTGTTAAAATTAAAGATCTGGCGTTAAGACTCATGCATGATGAAAGTCTTATTTATCTTACTTGGTTGGGATGAACAATTGATCAAAATTAAAATTAAAATTAACTCTACCATGCTATTCATCATGTAACTGTTTCTATTTTACTGAAAATTGTTTATTTTTATCATGACCATTATTGTCTAGGTGATACAGGGATATATTAAAATGGAACCTGCTGAGCAAGGTCCGCCGTTAGACCTCCTCCTTGAAGGGGACAAGAAGAGGAAACTAGAACCCAGCTTTAAAATACCCAAGAAGAAGCGCACTGACTCCGAGTCTATGGACGAAGTAAAACCAGTGGTACTATCGCCCGTAAAAGAGGAATTTAAAAAGGAAATCCCAAAAACACTTAAGATAAAGAAGAAAAAAGTGACGAATTTAGAAAAAGATGAACCATATTCCCCTGGCAATAAAGAGAAACCGCCCAAACAGCCACTCCTTGACAAACCTAAATTAGCACTGCTGGAGACCCCTAAGATGGCGCTACTCGACACCCCAACACCAGATCCAGAGGAGCCTGACCAACCCAGCACTCCACCCCCAGCAGAGGAAGATCGCACACGTTTCGGTCTGGAAGTACCAAAATCAGTGATAGTCCAGGAGTATGTAACTCTGACGGACGGCTCGAAACACGTACTGACTCGGGAGATATGGAGGAGGATATTCTCTTATCTTCCGCCAGGTAACTTGGTGCAGTGCATGAAATGTTGCAAGGTATGGTTAGAGTGGATATCTGATCCTATCTTCTGGCCATCTATCAACCTCTCCCGTTACGGTCCTATTTTCCCTGATACTTTAAAATCAGTAGTCCTACGACAACCCGTTGAAGTAGATTTATCCTACTGTACCATAACCAGAAAACAATGTGATTGGCTACTTCCCAGATTACCCAACTTGAAAACTATCAGACTCTCAGGTCTTCCCATGAATATAATCGGTAGTTTGAACGGACCTATGGTTGCAAATCTGCGACACATCGACTTGAGATGGGTTGATGATTTGAACGACTGGGGACTCAGAGACTTGTTGAGTGTTCCCTCCGGTCGGGAACAAAGACCCAGATTCCGAGATCTCCAAGGTCTGTTGCTGTCAGGATGTATATTAACAGACGAGGTTATCAACAATATCATCAGATACTGTCCCAATCTGAAACATTTAGATCTCAGTTATAACAACAACATGAATGATAGGGTTGTGGAGGCAATCTGTGGATCAGATCTGATATATTCGTTAACTAGGATAGACTTTAGTGGCTGTCCTCATGTGACAGACAAGTCTTTGCTCATGATGAAGAAGTGTTATGATTTGACTTGGTTAGACTTCAGATCATGTAGAGAGATTACTCGCGGTGCTTGTGTCAGATTTGCTCACTCTTTTAAAAAAGAGTTGATTATCACTGAGGATAAGTTAATACATCCGCCCACAGTCGACGTTTATATTAATTAGATTTAGCGGGAATAATGATCGCATTTTTCAGATCGTCATTGACATGAAATACTTGATTTTTACATATTTTGTGCGATTAATTGGTGCTCAGCATATACTTATTTATTACTATACTAATTTTCAATTTTACTGACAAATTTATTGATAATAATATACAAACTTGCTTTATATTACTAACGTTGTGATTTTTCAAGAAGTAAGTGTTTTGCTCCGATTTCAATCGGCGATCAGATCGTAAATTTGATATTTGAATTTAATTTTACAAATTATATCATTCCAGGATGAAATTATGTGTCATATCCTTGCTACATTATTTTAAAATCTCAATTGCTTTATGTTAAATTTATATGATCTCATAGTCTCTTCGTGAAATTCCTTATATTTAAAACACGTACGTACATACCGTTGAGATTAACTGTATTGTGACCACATTATACTGGTACCGGATATATGATATTTTGTTCGATGATAAGGACTGACCTTGCCAAATTACTCTCGGGACTCCTGACCTCTGGTTCCACATGACTTCATCTTGAATGAGGGTGCCAGGTCTCCGTTTACTGTTTATTAAAATCATATTATTTCATTCTAGAATTCGTAAGTAAAATACCCTTCATGCTAGACAATTGTTTAAGTAAATGTATAACATTCCTTTGTAGTAAGTGTAATCCCGGCATATTATTACTATTCTGTTGTTTCTGGCCAATAACATGTCTAATTGTATGCTTACATTAAATGTGTCTGCAATCTGGGTAGCTTGTGAATGTAATTACCCAGGAAATGCCTGACATCAGTAATTGGCGCTAATTATAGAACGGTTAATTTGCCGAGCTAAGTGTGCTTTACAAGGTGTTATATTTTACCGGATAAAATATATGTACGAAGTAGTTAATCATCAATTGGGTAATGCAGTTGCAAAATAGGGAAATTGAATGTGTATAGCATCGTTGCGAACAATTAGATTTCACAATTAGATTTCACGTAATCCTAACAGAAAATATGTCCGTATCACGTAAGCACATGACAACTTTATCGTTTAGGTTTTCCTTTCCAACAGCTGATAATGAGGCACAAATATTAAAAGGAAGTTCGAATTCCTTACCATGTGAAGGAATATGATACACTCACTCTGCACGCTATACTGATAAAATTCCTGGCATTGTATTGTCTGTTGTATTCTTGTTAAAACGTCGTGTTATTGCCATGGTAACAAAAGAAATCATTTGAGGTGATTGTACGAGAACTGTGACGTGCGTGTATAATATGCATGTTAAAAGTGCATTGAATTTGAATGGTTGATGAGGTTTTGTGGACGTCTGTGTTCGAAAGTGGCGGGGCTGAGGTGCGCGCAACGGATTTCTCCCGGGCCGGGACATAATGGCAAAGAGATCTAAAGTACTAGTAATAAATTGTCACGTTTTGCTTACAAACAACGTTATGTGCAGCATTCTGTGCAACTTAAAGCTCACGCGACGAGCGCGAGTTCTTGTCAATACAGAGATAGGAATTGACATTTATTTAGCAGGATGTCTGTGGCGGCACTTGGATGTACTTCTTCCTCTGTGTTGAAAGGTTCGGATAATTCACAGTTAATTTCACTTTCCTCGTGTTGCCAAGAATCCAATCTTCAGATTGACGCACTGAAAATAGAAATGTAATTATGTTCAGCGTTCACATATCATGACCTTTTAACACAGGTACAAAGTGCTTGCATACTACAGCTGCTCTCTGCACGAAATGGAGATACAAGATGATGGATGGTGCTCCAATCATGCCAAAACGGAAGCGGGCTGAGTACGTAGCTTAATGTTGGATTATTTCTTTGACAATGTTTTAGTGCATACATTTTCCTTGACACCTTGTTCAATGTTCATCGACAAACATTTCCATATTTATTAATTACACTCTCAGAATACGATTGATGAGACCCAACAAAGAGGCCTGTCAGAGATTCTGGTGGAAAGAGGATGATACAATTTGGCACTGGCCCAGAGATGATGCAGGATACTTTCGATATGGGAGGTAAGACGTTAAATTGGTCACTTCATTCTATGTGCTAGACTGACCTTCAGTTTTACTTTAGAAGGATCCTATGCAATTCAAAGCGGCTTTAACGAACTTTGTGAAGTCATTTCCGGACGAGCCTCCAGCTCCAGGATACAGCCGTCGGAATGGAAACTCCTTGCTTGATTGGAGTGGTGATAAAACAGTTTCTACACTGTCCGGGGGGTCGACTTTTTCGATGGCCCGATAGAGGATTCTATGAAACCCTACAAAGTAACAAAGTAAGTAGAATAAGAATACTGTTTAATTAGAAGGTTAACTTCCAGGTATTAACTATGGTTTCCTTCTTCAGGTATCAACCATTGAAAGGGAAACCAGTTCAAGTCACTGATCCAGAAAAAGTAGAAATGGTTAAGAAACTGATGGGACCCTATCATTTATACAGACAAACAGAGTGGTTTAGACATGATCATGAGTATGAAAGGGACCCTTATGAAAATTTAAGTAGAGGTTTTTTGGGACTGCCATCAAAAGGGGGAAGCTGAGACCTTCATAAATTATGTTTCTCCGATTTCTTAATTTATTGAAAGGGTAATAATATTTCGAGATAATATATTGAATTGAATTTTGCTTTGGATTTATTTGATGGTTTGCGATCCCGTTTAAATATCTCTGCTCCACCGCACCGCACCGCTGACATAATATAAGGGGTCGTTAACATATTACGCCATCACGTTTGGCCAATTGCCAACCCATCCGCAATCAGTTTTAAACATAGCGATTGTATTCAAATTACACTAGCATTATCATTTATGATAGCGTAATATGTAAACGACCATTACAAATCCTGAATTAGGAATACAGATACAGCTGACCATGAAATGTGAATAAATTTATCAGATTGTTTGACCTCCTGACTCGCTTGTACATTATTGTTGTGGCTAATGCTTCTGAATTATTTCTCCACAACCTGTTTAGAATTTAGATCCCAGCTTGCCAAGAAATGTCTAAATGAACTGTGAACAATTTCTCCATTCGCGTTAGGAGTGCTCGAATTGTAAATATTTCATTGAAGTGTGATGTCTGATAGACTACTGTCTTTTAATTTCCAAGGCTTTCAATGTAGTAGAATGTCGCGAAGTTGGTCAGAAGATTTGATCACTATAAAAATCTAGGATCTTTATTACCTTAGTTATCGCGTCAGACTCCTACCCCGCCCTGATTTGTATTAAACGATAATGGGTTACTATGTAATATGTACACAAGATATGATTCATCTCAAGGTGTAATGATATTACGGTATTCAGTGGACGATAAATGAAGATCTTCCTGAGTTAAATATCGCGGGGTAAAAATAAACAAAGCACTAATATATAATATGTGTACTACATAATGCATAATATGTAAACAGTTATGGAGTTCTTGGATAGATTTCAATTGTCCAGGCAATTATTTCAGTGAAATTTGCTCTTAACCATTTTCTTAACTGAAATCAACGTGTTTTATTTGTCTGCATTACTAAAATGATACGCAACAAACATGTAGTTTAACCTTAAATAAACACTTGCAGTCAAAAATATTATCCTATGCAATCTCCACAGCAGCTGACCCTGCCAAATAATTGTCTGATATTACACACTGTATTTCAGTGGCCTGCAGGGAATCGGGTATCGTATTCACCGTTGGAGTCCATATTTCTGTATTTATAAATCATAAATGTAACCAAGAATACATGTTTGATGTTGGCAAAGACTTGAACAATACTGAATCTACTATGAATTACCCGGCTTTCTTCATTGATCTGGAATTTCTAAAAGTTGCTAATTACAAATAAGTAATGGTATACTAATTAATTTCTATACCGAATATAACTATGATCGATTGTGAGTTTTTTGTACAGCAAAAAACAATCCTCCACATGCACCCGGCCCTTGAGTCTACTGTCTAAAACGGGAAGCTAACGGTGGATACTGGATTATAATATGGACCACCGACCATCCCTTATGTGGGCACTCCTGTTACTGGTCGAAGTATTCCTAAAGATTCCATGAACTTAGAGTCAATACTATTACTAAAGTTTGGGACAATTTTGCAGTGGTCACAGACAGGTGAAATGCAACTTGGTCGATCTTTCTCAGATTTCAGAAGTTGTGTCTTTGAACGGTTTGAAGAAAGGATTTGGAAAAATCTGCCAGGTCTAATCACATTTTTTACTACACACGCTCATGTGTGGACATGTGCTCAGAATTAATTCCTAATATTATTTAGTGCGCGCGCTGAATGTCATGTTATGGTGGATGATTTAATTGCTTATTTAAACACAAACTATCAGTTCGGTGTTCGCGCGTTACATACATACTATTAATGCCCTTTGCGGCTCACAGGGTCACTGAATGTAAGGTATCTCTCTAACCGTTACCAAGGCAACGTAATACAACAATCTCTTTGCTAAGAGAGAATTATAAAAGGAAATTTCGCTTAGTGACAAGAAGACTTAAACTGTATAAATCACTTTATAAATTTCACAAATGGGAACAATAATAATCTGGCAAGATCTATAATAATCCTACCCTAAATGTACACTTCACCGATCATTACTCAAATCTTCAATTAAATATAGAAATCATTCATCGTCTAATGCGTCAAATCAAACTCTTTGTTCCTACTAAAATCGTAGAATTCCTGATCTTTGCAAATCTCTTTTGCAGTCTCTAAATAGTTGACGTTATTTATCTTGTCAATCTTGTGTATCTTGAGAAAACTGAACTTCTCGGCATCTCAATCGGTTTACCCTGTAAATATTTAATATAAATAGTAAGATCTCATCACTCGTCCAGAGTCTCATTAAATTACCAATAATGTGCCTCTTTGGTTGCTTCTGATTATGGTTTGATCATATACCTACTGTAGGCACAGGAAATTGTCGAATACAGGACCACTTAAGCATAGTAATCTGGCAACCTGTTACACTTGACCATCGTCCACTTTCACTTAAAGATTCTGCTTTACTTTTACCAGCAACTATAACATATAAATTATAAATATATAAACTGTGGAATGTTTACAATATTTACCCTGATGACAGTACTAGGACCACCTCCAGTCTTGGAGACCCTGTATTCGTCCTGCCAAGTGTTGACTCCCCGTCTCCGGTGGTCACACGTATCGTAAAGCTCGCTGTGAGTCTTCCGCCATTTCATTTCCGGCTTTATACTCACGTTTTTCTAGCAAAAGTGAGTAGTTATTAAATAAGCAAGCAAAGAGATGTTGGCAAGAAATAAATATATTTGGACAGAATAAATAATCCGAACAGTCTAAACAAATATTTGTACTCACAATGGCATAAGGTTTGTACTCAAATGGTGGTTTGTAGTCCTCTCTGTTGGTTGTACCCAGAAACATCACATTGTGATTTGATGTGTGTCTGATTATACCCCCCTCCTGAACCCTAAATAATATTACTTATCTCACAGCACTCCAGAAACAAACAGATTCTCAAGCGTTTAATTTGGAGCAGCGAACAAAGAGTACTGGAAATGTAGCTTAAATCATAAAATAGTAAAGAAACGTACTTTTTCCAGTCGACTTGTTTGAAAGCGTCCTGATCGAGCATAAACTTGTGAACTTCCTTTCTTTGGAAATCTGACTTCTTGTGCAAGTCCGACATTCGCTCTTTCATTTCGCTTATTGGAGGTTTCTCCTGCAAGGAGTTGTGTTATCAAATAGAAGGAGAGGGGGGCAACCCCTCAAATGTGTCAGATCTTATTTCTAGACCCGAGTTATAGAAGTAATACATAATACACTTGCTCTTACATTAAGAAAACAAATTATTTCCTAAAATGCATCTGCTAGTAAAATCAATGAGTTTCCTAGGCAACTGAGAGTGCTCTTTATTCCTTTTAAGTGCCTAAGTAATGTAGTTAAAGTTATTATAATAAGCTCTTACAAATACGTATTGCCCGACTCCGTTGCAATACGTTGACTTGTGAAGATTGTAATTATTGGGATTGGTTATGTCGTAGTCTTTTGGTTCGGATTCTCTCATTTGGTGCCTGAAGAATGAAATTAAAGTGGCAAAACTAAACCAAAGTTTTAAGTGCAAGTAAAATAGTACAACTTTCTGTCAAGGGTTTAAGTAAAGTAAAGAAGTCACTTACTGGCCGTTTAAAGTTGATAACAAAATGTAAGAGCTATAGAAACACAATCTGAAATGTAATGATATTTAAGTTATTACCAGTTTGTGTTACGGACCCCTTTTCTAAAGGAGCAATGGTTGGATCGGAGGAGCAGTGATCCCTTGCGTTCAGCGTATTGGGGCACCCCATACTCCATAGCTAACATCCTACATTCAATTATTAAAAATTAGAATCGCTGCTTCTCATAGACTAAAGATCGCCACTTAATGAATTTTTTTTCATATATAGTTTGGCGGCATTTTAGAAAATAATGAATTAAAGCATGACAAACGAGGACGACTAATCATCAGATCTGTATTTGTCAGTACGTTATTTACTTCTCAAAACCGCAGCCTTTATTTTTTAGGACACTTAAAACGAGCGGTGAGCGTAGCAGACTATGTGGTATAAATTAGACTATTATGCAGTGTTACTCAACAGTCAACATCAATCAGGAATTGTTAGCTCAAGCAAATTTTAACTGAAAAACTTTTCGGAATATTCTACAAAAAGTCTTAACCAAGTAAGAATCGTTGAGTTAGATAATGTAAATCTGTCAATAAACAAGATTAATAGTATAATAACAATCTGTCATCAAGGAAAATATTTTAGAGAATGAAATATCAATCACCATTTTAAGTCCAGCTTATTTATGTACTACATAATCTTTACTTGTCATCTGTCTTACGCTTAAAACAGCATCAATTACATGAACGATTATGAAATTATGAACATCAACGTACAAATTACTTAGTCGAACATTAAGCATGTCACATAGACACTGGAACACATGTGACATTACATAGATATATGTTGTTGTCAGGACAACACACTATTTTTGATACATGCGAAGACTCTGCCAAATTTTTCAGTTTAGGTATAACAATATGAAATATGATACACGATAAACATATTGCGATATAACTCGCCAAACAAGGAATTTTATAGAAATGGCATCTGTTCCCAATATCAGAAATAGAGTGTTTTGAACATGACCTGAGAAACCATTTTCTGTGGTTTAAAAAATCAAGAAATGCAACAAAGTTGACTGTTGGGATTTTTCTTTTCGTCTTGGATCATTTGGCTAACATCGTTCAGTTTCATTCTTTCTGGCGTCAGAATAGCATCGATTGCTGCCACATCTACTGTCGTTTTCCCATCCTTTTTCGCGTCGTCGGTAACTTTTTTAATTTCAGTAACCATTTGGTGCATGAGCTCTATTTTCCGGACTGTTGTGGCCATATCGAAACCTCCGCCAGCACCTTCCATTTTTTTCATGTATGAGGTGAGCTTTTCTTTCTCGTTCAGTGATTTCAATTCCTTTGTAGTAAGCTTGTTTACCTTAGAATCATCTTCAAGACGTTGTTTCCCCCAAACTTTTACGATGAGCACCTCTTCGTTGAGGTATTCCAGCAGTTGCTCCGTAACAGGCGAATGAGAAAATACTTTTGACCAGTTCCAATCAGGATTCTTAGAATTAATATGGTCAGTTTCGTTTGGGGAGTCCTCTAGATAGAGTTTGAACTCACAGTAAACATCGTTGGATATTTTCTGAGGAAGACCTTTAGCCCCAACAATGATAAATTTATATTTCATGTTTTTACCGATCAATTCATTGGGCTCTTCTACGAAATAATCGTCATCGTCATCTTCAATTGGGGTTTCATCCTGTTTAAGAGGAACGATATTGACTTGAAGATAACCCCTCTCTTGGGCCTGGTAATCAGTTATTATCACACTTTCTTCAAATCCAATCAGGTAAGTCAAACACTTGAGATGAATTTGAGCTTGTCCTATCAAAACATGACTAGCAACTGTTTCATAAAACGGATCAATATCCTGTGGAAGATCCCAATCAGCATCTTCGTCGACATAGCCCTGATACATTTCCAACATTTTGTACTTTCGGTTAATAAACTTGTTACGATCCCAGAGCCAAGAATTGTTATGAATCAAATCAGAAATCTTCACCATGACTTCGGTTCTTCCCTTACTAAGACCTCTGGCCTGAGGGGCGACAAGAACTATCTCGAACAGCTTCTTCTTGTCGAGCTCTACGCTTATTGCATTTGCTTCGTTAACCATCGGCATCAACGAGATAAGATCCTCTTGGAGCAGGAGCTCCTCTGGTGATTTTCCTTTTCTATCAACATCGAAGCCAGATTTCTCCGCGATCTCAGTCTGAACCACATCCCAAGTAACCGGTTCGAAAGTTTTCCCTGCCTTGTTAGCCTTCTTGAACTGGTAGGGATGATGAACCACATACACGTGACCCGCACTAAACAGGATCCTGTCATTGTGGTGTAACTCAGTTCGCGTCGTTAACGGATCACCGTTCAAAGTCACTTTGGCGTTCTCGCGAACAGTAATATAGATAAGCTGTTTATCAACTTCAATCAAAGCATGCTCGTCCATAATACTGAGACCCTGTAGTCTTACTTGACACTTTTCTCCTTTACCAATTAGAACTTTGGTTCGCTCAATGAGATGGCACACAACACCCGAGAGAGCTGGATCTTCGTTTAAATTCCAAAGGTAAGGTTTTTTGTGTCTCTTCTCTGTGTCAGACTGTTTCTTCTTTCGTTCTTCCTCCATGGCTTTTTCCATCTCTTGTAATTTCTGCGAAGCACTTTTTTCCGAGTCTTCTAGTTCCATATGATTCTGCATCATTTGTGCTCGTAACTCGTCTTCTATTTCTTTTCTCATCTTCTCCTTCTCTTCTTCAGATACCTCAGTACTCGCCTCAGCTATCATGGCTACATCAGGTATCCCTGATCCACCTAACATATGCATCAATTTCGCGTTTTCTTCTCTTAGCTCCCTGATTAACTTCTCTGTCGGAGACTCATTGACCTCAGCAACAGTTTTAATTCTTTTGACTCTGTCAGCAAATTTAAGCGTCGACAAGCTCTCATCATAATTGATGTCAGCTGGAGATACGGCTGCCATCATAACTGTTTTACTGTTTCCTCCGAGAGCGTTCTTGAGGAGTTTAGTCAGGGAAGAGTCTCTGAAAGGGACAATTACCTTTGATTTACCAGGAGCCTTGCCTTCAGCGGCTACATCAGCAAGAGCAGCTATTACGTTACCGAGCGTAGAGAGCGATTGGTTGATAGCAGCCCCTTCTTTTAACCGGTCACCAGTTGCCGCTGTAGAAGCTGCCCTCTCACTGCCAGCTAAATCTACTAAGTTTATTACTGATGTTTTTGTCATAGCCTGTTGGCCTTCCTCTTTGGTCTTCTGGACAAATGTTAAAGCAACGATTGTATGGGCTCTGCTACTCGTTGCATTCATAGCTGTCGCAGCGACTGTCCTGTTTTTTGTCCCGTTGTCCATTTTCATTTCGATATTTTCGTAACTTCCGACAGCGTGTGTGGTTAGCTTGTCTACATAGAAACCCTTCTTTGGATGTTCCCGAATCTTAAGTCCACCTTTGAGCTTTAATGAAGCAGGATTTAACAAGTCTCTCACTTGTTCGTTGTAAATTTCAATCATAGCAAGATTAACTTCATATTCATCCTGTGGTTTTGCCGCAACTTTCTCCTCAATTTTAGAGAACAGTCTCTGACAAACAACTGGAATAACACCTTTATTAGCTCCGTACCCCACAATCGAGTAGGACTTACCAGAACCCGTCTGCCCGTAAGCGAACAAGGAACAGTTATAGCCAGCCCAAGCATTAAAGAGGACCCCCTCGCCCAAATCTTTGAAGACCCTCGCTTGATCACAGTACCGGTCATCATCCGGGTGCATGTAGCCCTCAGCGTCCTCTTTATACCCATCGTGTGACCAATAACTATAATCAAAATGGAACTTCTTCGGCTCCACGTTCCCTTTAGGGTGGTTGATGATTGTCTGGCTGCCCTGCATGTCGATCACCAGCTTAGCTCCTCTCTCCTGTTCTCGCATGTTGAAGGGCCGAACCCTCACTGCTACCTTGATTGTCTCGGCCATCCTCTGAAATATTTGATGTAACAAACTTTAAATTAAATGTTCCACATTGGAATTAGAAATTTGCGAAACTCAGCGAAAATTATCGATACAAAGGTTGCCATAGATTATTCAACAGAATCATGTTTTGCTGACAAGATCAATAGGATCAAGAAGCTACCCGAGTACCCGTACAATCATGAATTAAGACGTGCAAATATAGATTCGAATCAATACATTTAATCAGTGTGATACAATTTGAATCAGAAGAAAAACATGTCGATTGTTAAAATTTATTCAATGATTATAATCTTACTATCTTACTATACAAAGCGAGACCGTAGAAACTTTTTTGGCTGTGTGGAATGCTTTTATGGCCTTTTGACTAGTATGAAGAAATACAAAATTGGTTGAGGAATAAAAACTTTAGGTCCCAAAATTTGGACCAACAAGTAGTGTCAAAATCGCAAAATAAACAAATATTGTTGTCTCTTGTTGTCTCTAGGTTTAGACGAGTTCCTGATAGTATTCCGAAGGCGTAAATAAATCAAAATCAACATCAATCACAATGCTTTATAACAAAAATGGGTTCAATACGTTACATGCATTTATAGCTTTAAACATAATATTATCGTCGAACATACCTTAAAGCATGCAATATCTTAAATTAAGATTCGTAATATTGTGCGTACGTATAATAACAAATCACTATCAAATACATCACTGCACTATCTCATTGATTAATCATTTTGGCGGATAACACAAACTGGCATGCACTCAAACACTGTCAATAATAATCAGAATAGGATCCTCAATTGAGTGTCTCAAAGAATCATTTTAAAACAATACCTTTGTTCTGACCAGCCGCTTTATCTTTTTGATAGTATCTCGTTCAGCCTGACTCGACATTACACTTGTACGATCGAAGGCAAATCCTTCACAAGTTCAACAAACAATATTCTGACTAAAAGCAATCAGTACACCGCCGAAATGAGATTGTCGAGTACTCAAGTTTAGCACTGGATATTATTGCATGATACTAAACCGGTGAGGGGTGCCTTGTTCGTCGAGCAAATCATTACTTGGTATGATTCGTGATCCTCATATTTCGTGTCATTCGATATTGATTCGTGTTGACATCAAGGGCGAGATCTGGAATTCCTCACATCTCACATAAGAGTAACTTAACTCTTTGGGTGCCAAAATTACATCAGATGGCAAGATTGATAAAGAAATAAGTGTCAGGATTGGAAAAGCAACCGGAGCTTTTAACCAACTCAACAACATTTGGAAGAATAAGAACATAAGCATTAACAACAAAGTGCGAATCTACATCGCAGCTGTTCTTACCATTCTGACCTATGGATGTGAGATATGGAACACGACTCAAGTGCAGACAAGAAGATTGGAGTCTTTCCATCAGTACTGCTTAAGAAGAATCCTGAGAGTGAGGTGGTTCCATCGAGTAAGTAATGAGGATGTTTTAAGAAGGGCATCAATAACTGCCCTTGCTGACATAATAACAACAAAACGGCTGCGTTGGTTTGGACATGTCAGTAGAATGCCTGAAGATCGGTTGCCCAACTATTTACTTGAATGGAAACCCAAGCATGGGAAGAGATCAAGAGGCAGGCCTAGGAAGAGCTTAAATGATGTATTCATTGAGGATGCTGAGCAGAGATTGGATCGTAATGGACTCACGATTGATTGTATGAGAAGATTAGCTGCAGACCGAAAGGGATGGAGAAATGTTACCCGCCGAAGTTGTATAATACAAAGTAATGACGCAGTCGACGCAGACTAATCCTTTTGGATGGAGATCTCGCCATGTAACATGTATGTATGTAACTCTTTAAATTTGGTCCTCCCACAATGAAAGAAATTGTTATCACTAGGTAGATTTGCAGGTTTATCTAATCTTTCATTTAAACGATTTTCTTAGTTACAGATTGATAAGGGATCTTTAAATTTAAGCTGTTAATATTGTTATGTAGTACAATTATGTAGTACAATTCGACATTTATTCTATGAGGATCATTAATATCGTTTCCAAAATATCCATCGTTGACAGTTATAATAAGAGTCATCAACATGAACAGGGTCAGGGTCCGAGGGTTACTTTATGAACTGAAAATACTGACAATAATGTACATTTTAAACTCTGAGAGAGTCGGGTTATTATTTTCAGGGAAAGTTTTAACTTTCAGCATTTTCAGTTTAAGGGTCGTTCATGTTACATCTTATGTAATCACTGAGGGGGAGCGGGTTTCTAAATGATTACGCTAGTGTAATTTTAACACAGTAGTTATGTATAATTGATAATCTTGATCATGGAGGGGCGAACTTACATGTACTTGATTAGGTCTCCTCAATCATTCGAGTGGCCTGCACCAATGAACTCCTGTTTGTGACGTATCATCTCCCTCCAAAGTTTGCGGTCACTAGCCATCTCGCTCGCTCCTTCTAGGTCTATGTCAGTGTTTCCTGTAAACGATGCAGCATCTTCCAGCAAACATTTCATCCAGATCTTTCTTGGACGACCCCTAGATCTTCTCCCATGCGCAGGGGTCCAGTTAAGCAGATACTTAGGAAGCCTAGTGTCTGGCATTCTGGTGACATGGCCAAACCAACGCAGGCGGTTTGGAGGGGCGAGGGGGATTAAAAATTGGCAAAAAAGTTATTATGCAATATAATATATACTTTGCGTTCCTGAGATATTGTCGAGCCGAAACCAAGTCTGCCTCTATGAAGTGTACTTGGGTGGTTGAAAGAAGATGTTTGACTGTTTCCATTGCATCTCAGCAAGATTTCCTGACTCCTGTAAAAAGTTGGCAGATGGTAATTTTTTCTTGCTGGGTAAGAGTTGGGGGTTTCTTGCTCCTTCAGTAACTATTTTATAATTGAGGGAGCCAGCATGCAGCAGTCCTGCAGTCAAGTACGACACTCCATTGAAATCAAAACGGACCAAAATCTGTCAGTAAAGATGCATTAATAAAGGGCGAAAACCGATAACAATTATTTGTGGACTGTGCGTGTAAGAGATGTATGATAATTATAGTCGCCACTCGCCTTGCTATGCTATAAGTTGGCTACAGCAATGCAATGGTGACAAAACTGACCATTTAACTGCTCATGAGCAATAAATTCCAAAATCATAATTGTTTTACAAGTCTGTTTTACAAGTCTTTAAACTCAAATAATCGATAAAACATTCTTGATAAATATGAATTACAAATAAAAGTTTGTAAATGAAACGTGATATGGCTGTTCCCTTGACCCCCACAGTTTGCAAACTGAATTTCCTAGTCGACCAGATTTGCTGACCCATCATGTGGTTAGATGTGAGGGTCGCTCATATCCATTAAACTTGTTGTTTTCTTGTATTAGAAATAAAATTTTAATTCTGTATATGCTAATAAGATTTCAAAATTAATAACGTAGAAATATACTGTAAAAGTTGCGAATATTCATGTGTGAGTATTTAGAATTACCGCAAACTGAGCAAATTGACTTGGTAAATATTCCTTTAAAATAATAACGCATAATAATTGCCCATTATCAATAAATAACTCAGCCTTTTAAGTGTGCAGGTCATTTGTCTACTCTAACTGCAGCCTTAACCAAAAGTCTCAAACATCTTCGTCCTGTATAATACGAAACAAATACATTACAAAATCATTCTATACAACTATATTTCTGGATTATAATGCTTTTGGACACGAATGGAAACACACATCATAAGGCTTGAAATCTTCGTAAAACTACATCATTAGAGCCTGTAAAAACATTTAACTTTAAGATAAGCACTCTATCAAGTATATATATATATTATGATTGGCTACTGGGACACGTCATACACACGGTTGGATTGTTAATTCGGTTGAAGTACCTTTACATCCATTATATATATATATATATAACTCTAAAACTCTGGTCACAAGAGCAACTGCCTAAGCGTGCAGAAGTGAAAACAAATAAATAAAATATACTAGCAGTCCTTAATACTCGTAATAAATAGATTCATTCAATGTCATAAAACTCTTAACCATACACGTGACCAGTAAAATAATTTAATTGGTCTATAGACTACTGTATAAAATTCTCAATATATAAACTTTATTGACAATAATAAATTAGTTAAAATCACACCAACCTTTGGTGTATAAATGAGTAAACAACCTCTATTTGTCGTAAAATATCTTTCATAATATTATAGTATATGCTATAATATTAAAACTGTTTATCAGAGTTCAGGTAACAGAATTTAACTGTAATGGCACCTCTGTAGTATTATCCATTGTTGAGATGTAACCATTTTTTCGTCCGGTCTTGATTAACCCGGCTCACGATACATATGCTTCGTCCGGTCTAACATTGAACCCGGCTCACTAATCATAGGGATGGTGTAGTAGTTGGAATATGACACACTGTTTACAGTTTTATCTCTGTTCGAAGGAATTCTTCTGCATCCCTTGTTATTTCAACCGCTAAATCAAAGAACTCACGAAGTCTGCTCCATGATATTAACATTGAGTTTCCACCATAGCCCTGGTTAAAGATGTTGTGGAATGGGTGTCTTTTGAGAAGCTCACTCATGCTGTTCCTTTTATTTGGTTTTATATCATGACAGAAGATAAGCAGGTGAAGTGAGTTTTGCTCCCCTCGTCCACATTCACACAGTGGAGAATCAAATTTACTGCTGTTGAACCGGTGAAGAAATTCATTCATGATGTTGTTGGGGTAGAACAGACTTAGGAATAGGGTTTCAAGTTGCCTAGTTGTTTTGGGCGGAAACTTAAGCTTTGTGGTGCTCACTGTAGAGGCCTCTGTATAATATAACCTTCCAACTGATACTGGCTGTTTATGGAAGATTGCCAAAGCTGTTCACTGTAATGTTTCATAACCAATTTACTGTAGCTCTATCAAGTAAAAATAATATATAATCATCATAGTTTATTTTACCTGGGGACCCCAGGCTATTATGTTCATAAACATAACCGGAAAAAGATTCGGCGGAATGACAGGCTGAGCGCCGCCCAGTAAAGTTTTATTAACTCAATTTTTCTGGATTAGTGTTTTGGTATGTGCAAAAGCATTCAGCCGATTCAGGCCCACGTATGCCCAATTACATACCTGTCCTTTTCCATAAACAAAAAATAATGATTCGATTCCTTCATAAAAATAGAAAAAGGGCTAACTGGGCGGGTTTAGTGCTTTATTGAATTGTTATGTGGTTGCTTGCAAGAACTTGACGGATGCAGATGTTACTCCGTTGCTCGTATAAATTTCTACGGAGTAGCGCGCGCCGGGCTTGACCATTGTTTATTGTCTGGCCCGGCGCGCGCTACTTCAAAGAAATTTAGACGAGTAACATCCGTCAAACGCCGGGCAAGGCCATTAACAATGGACAAGCAAGAACTTGTTGTCTATTTATGTTTTTACCCTGAATAAGCTCTATTTAACTAAAAACTTTCGTGCGATCGTATCTCCTGCGCCCTGCGGTCAATTCAGCCGAATAATACAGAAATTATTGGGTTTTGAAGAGGGATCCTGTTGTAGGTTTATAACCTACCAGGACGCGCGCCGAGTTGGACTCGTCGCGACTGTTTTAATATTTGGAACAGATATTTTACGAGTATCACTCGTTAATAATGTCGTAGCTACTTTAAAAATTAAGCTCTGAATGTTGTTACCAAACGCGCTTATATCCTTAACGGGTGATACTTGTAAAATATCTGTTCCATGTATTGAGTTTGATTCACGATGTCAATCCTTCGCAGCTCGGTGAGGCACAGTGGTGCATCTCGCCGATCTACCGAAGGTTGCGAGAAGCATTATTTGATGCGCGCGCGACCCAGTAGTGCATCGCGCTACAAGTATTGAGTCAAACTCGGCGCGCGTCCTGGTAGGTTATAAACCTACAATTATATCCCCGTGCACGGCGCTCTTTTCGAGCTTCTTACCTGTGAAGAGTACTGTGCGCTCCAACTAAATCGCTCGCCCAAATTTTAAGAAAATTTTTGTGAAAAGGCCCTTTGGGTATTAAATTGACCTAAACCGATGTATTTTGGACGCTGATTCCGAAACACCCCCATGATGTGGGTAAAAATGCTTCCCTGAAAAGTTATGGGCAAAAAACCGTTTTGGTCACGCGACAGGCTGATAAACATGGTCTGAATCCGATTGTTTAAGACTCAGGTTAGGAGAAACAAATTTTTTTTTGGAGAAACAAATTTGAATTTTGATCTTTATTACAGATTAAACATATCATATATAACCATAAAAGCCGCGCGTCGGCTGATTGCTTCAACTTGGATTGGTAGTAATTTCAGTTTACAGAAGCTGAAGGACGGCAGCTCAAAAGCCCCAGTGAACCATCGGAAAGATCAAGGACTCGAGTGCCAATAGTGGCTTTTTCGAACCCATTTTCGCCGATTTGCTGTGGCCCAGATGAGCCGCGCCCTGCTGCTTAACGGCACATGGTGGTTTTTGTTTAAATACTTATTTAAATTTAAGCGATAATTCATTTGGTGGTTTACAGTTTTTGAATCATGTTCATCATTTATTTTTCGTTCAATTATCACGTTTTTACAATTCAGTCATACCATGCATAGTCAATATTGTTGAGGCAACCAGCTTCCGCAGTTCAATAATTGGAGACCGAAAAATATAAATTGATCGAAATTTACAATTCATCGTTATCAAATATAGTCAATAATATTCTTGATTCCATTTAGTACATAATAAGTTGGTTTTATTCTCTTGCAACACTACTGCACAACAAAAACTGCGCCTGTCCACCAGCAACAGCGCAGTCATAGGTGTGCAGCCAAAGCTAGGCCACACACCCATGGCCGCGCCGGTTAAACAACTCTATATTCAATCGTTATATTAGGAAATTTTAGTTAATTCTTTGATCACTCTTCAGTGCCGGTGGGCAGGCGCCCCGCATAGTTGGCTTTCCAAATTTACAGTCTCAAGAAAGCCGATACGGTAATCGAGTCCCGGAGCAGAACACACATTTAGAAAATTGAAAAATTAAAATTAAAATTAAAATAACAAATTAGAAATTAAAAATTAAAAATTACATGACTACGAGAGTCCAGACAGGCGACAAACACACAAACCGGACGAAGAGAGGACCCACTGCTGAATTCGACATATAATGAATTGTTGAAAACATAATGATTCCTACACTAATATGATCTTGAGGCATGCCCTGCATGTACTGTGCGAGTACATTGTAAATAATATCTGATAAGATGGGCCAAAAATAGCGGCACAGCGCGCAAAATGCGCGGCGTGACCGCCGAAATTTTATACTTTAGACATTAACATTTCAATCGGCTTTAGCGCTCAGCATATCTTCATTGAGTAGACATTAGAATTTCAGTTCGTTGGAATCGAAGTTCAGTTCACACCAATCTATTTCGTCGTACCTGTACTGCATGCCGAGTAACTCCTTTTTTATTGTGGATTTCACAAGGTTCGTTGATGTAGAGAAGTTGATATTGCTAGCAGTGTTTCTACAATCGTTCCACATTTTTGTCGATTGATATATGAAGGAGGTGGATGGGGTTGGAGTGATGAATCGATCAGCACGTCTTGATGATCTGTTAAATAGATTTAGGAGTGGGACTGGGGATTCTAATTTATTGATTTTGAACATTTCCAATAAACATGTGTGTTTGAACAAACTGTGTATGGTTAGTAAACCATTTTTCTTAAATAGCGGTTTTGTGTGCTGTTTTTCATAGAAGTCGCTTCCTAATTTTTGCTTGTCTTTACTTCGTGTTCTAGCACAAGTTCTAAACTTTTCTAAGTACGCCTCTCGGTTACCAAATAGTATTCTAACACATTTCTTCTGAGTGATAAATATTGGTTCAAGCCTGTTGTTACTAAGGCCACCCCATACTGATATCCCAAATCGCAAGTGTGATTCAAATAGTGTGTAGTACAGTTCTTTGTAGAGTTTTTCTGGAATAATGTGCCGTATTCTACAAATTTTCCCACTTTCACATTTCAGCTTTGTGTTGAGCGACCGTATATGAGCATCCCATTTAAGCTGATCATCAATAATAACACCAAGAAACTTCACCTTTTTGACTTGCTTTATTACTACATTGTTTAGAGTAAGTACGTGTTCTTCTTCATTATGTTCTACCTTGCTTTTTCTATTCGTTGGTTTAAAGTGAATGTAACAGCATTTCTTAATGTTAATATGCAGGAGATTACATTTCATATACAGTTGTACCAGTTTGAGAATTTGGTTTGCTCGTTCATATAACTTTATCTTACATTCATCCGCGACAAATATATTTGTATCGTCAGCAAATAGAATGAACTTGCCTAGTTCAGTTGCCCTATATAGGTCGTTGATATAAATAATAAATAGTAACGGACCAAGACAAGATCCCTGGGGTACTCCAAAGAGAACTGGAAGCTTGTCAGAATCTTCTCCTAGGACCGAGACGTATTGATATCTATTAGAGAGATAACTAGCAATGAGTTTGTTGGCATTGCCTCGAATTCCGTAATTATCTAGCTTACTCAGTAATTTGTCAGCTGAGATGGTATCGAATGCTTTGCTTAGATCAATGAATATTCCGAGCACGTGCTGCTTTTTATTAAGGCATGATTCTATATAATTCACTGAGAAATTCAGGGCATGACTAGTAGAGTGATTTTTACGGAATCCATACTGATTTTCATAGATCATATTTTGTGACTGGAAAAAGCTGTATAGCCTACTAAGTAAAACAAAATTTAAGTAAAACAAAATTTAAATTTTATTGCCATTACAATGAATAATGATATCATAATAAATATAAGTAGACATCCGATAATAAACTTGTTACATCCAGTACAACCCAAGATGTCAGCCGACACGACTTACAAAAATAAAGAAATAAAGAAAGCTAGCATGTTATGTTCCTTGTTTATAGTTTATCTAACGAGCATGCTTAGCACTTAGGCTGTACGGAAATAGCTTTAATTCTACGTCATATTAAAAACTTTACATCATTTTTGAGATACAAAAATAAATTTTAAAATAAATAACTCTTTTGCTGCTTAGGCGCGGCACCGCGCTTGTTCCACATGCTATACAGTGTGTAGCAACACATCGCTGAAAACAGAAGCTGAATGAGCTATAACATATAAGCAGTGCGCCGCGCCTAAACCTAAATCCATAAACTTTAAATATTGTCAAGATATTAAACGATTTTTGCAAAATAATATAGCATGCTGACTTCGTAGGATATTACAATTATACCAGTGCCAGTTCCAAATGTGAGTCCGCGCTTAAACCAAAAGCAGTTGGCAAAAGGAGCCAGTTGCCTGCAAGAGCTTTACTAGCACCCGATTTACCACTTTTGGAGCACAAACTCAAACCTAAAACCGGCCAAGCACAAAAATATGTTATCGCCACGATTGGGTGGATTGATTCCCAGAATATTTATCAGCACGCGGCACTAATAATATATGAAGTTCATTATCGAATTTTAGATATGCCCTGGATCGTTTAACACATATATAAAAGGTTATTAAAAAATAATTAATGTTTGGTTCGTATAAATCGATATTAATCAATTATTTGAAATAGTATTTGTGTTTGTTATTATTAACTATTGAGTTGCGTTCGATTTAAATATTAAAACACTACTACAATACATTTCACAAAACAAAACGACGGGGACACAGAAAGGAGGAGGACAACACATCACACGGACGGAAACTGCTGCTGTTGACGAGTATCTGATTATATTAATTATGGGTCTTTTGTTCATTAAAATAAGTGTGATCATACTTCTAGAGTATATTGGGCTGACACAGTTGCTGCAAGGTTAACATTGGGGTCCAAAACCGGGAGTGTGATACAACTTAATTTCGCGTTACGTAGTAAGAGATACGAAATATAAAATATAAGATATAAGTGACGGTAGGTTCACGGATATAGCGCGGCGTCATTTCATTAATCTGGCGCGGTAAATCACGCTGGGTAATGAAATGATAGAGTTATACAATATTTAAGTTTCGCGCCGTACGTTTACACAATATATTTGTGAGTCCGTCCCACGTTCCAGACGTACACTCCAGACAAGTCCAGACACTAGTGTAAAGCGGGTGAGCTGATCAGTGTTCTGTGTTATATGTGTGAATATATAGTTTCTATGTTTGACTGTGGTGTGTATTGTGTGTGTTATTTTGTGTGTGTAGTATGAAATCTATATGGACTAGTTTGTATGTTCTTATTATAGGCACATGTCATTTCCATCAAAGTTGAGTTCTGACCATTCATCAGTGTTTCCAGCTTTTTGAGCATTGAGTAGCATAGTTTTAATGCGACCTTTAACAAGTGCAATTGGGGACGAGAAGTCAATCTTACTAGAAGGTTTAAGGAATTTATTCCACATATTCGAGGTTTTATATACAAACAAATTGGTTGCAGCGGGGTTAATAAAGTAGTTATCACGTCGGGGTGACTTTTGAAATAAATTGTACATCGGTATTGGAGTGTGAAGTTTGATTATTTTAAACATTTCAAGTAGACAGTGGTACTTATACAAATTATGCACGCAGAGTATTTTGTTTCTGCTGAGAAGGGGTTTACTTGATTCTCGTTTATAGAAGTCGGCTCCAAGTTTTTGAGATCCAATTGGGCGGGTTCTAGCACATGTTTTGAACTTATTACTGTATGCCTCTTGATCACCAAATAGAATACGAGTGCACTTTTTTTGAATTTTAAATATTGGTTCAAGCCTATTGTTCGATATGCCTCCCCACACTGAGATCCCATATCCTAGATGAGATTCGAAGAGGGTGTGGTAGAGGTCATTATACAGCTCTTTAGGTATAAATCTTCTCATACGGCAGAGTTTACCGACTTCACACTTTAATTTAGAACTAAGATATGCAGTATGAGGTTTCCAGTTAAGGTTTTTATCTATAATAACGCCGAGGAATTTAGTTTCATCAACACGTTTAATGACTGTGTTATTCAACGTTAAAATAAGATCATTACTATTACTACTACTACTAGTTACATCCTTCTTTCCTGGTGTAAAGTGAATGTAACAGCATTTCTTGATGTTAATGTGGAGAAGATTGCATTTCATATAATTGTAAACAGAATTCATTATAGTATTAGCTTTTTGGTAGAGATTCTGGACAGATTTGTCGACTACAAATATATTGGTGTCATCAGCGAAAAGTATAAATTTTCCTAGGTCTGATGAGTTATAGATATCGTTTATGTAAATTATAAACAGTAGCGGTCCTAAAACACTACCTTGTGGTACTCCACAAATAACAGGGAGTTTATCAGATTCCTCACCTAAAACTGAAACGTACTGCTGTCTGTTAGATAGGTAACATCCAATAAGCTCGTTTGCGTTACCTCTTATACCATATTTGTCAAGTTTTATGAGAAGTTTATCGTGACTGATAGTGTCAAATGCCTTTGATAAGTCAATAAAGATACCTAATACATGTTGCTTTTCCTTTATATGGGAGTTTACATAGTCAACTGAGTAATTAAGGGCGTGGTTAGTTGAGTGACTCTTCCTAAAACCAAACTGGTTCTCAAACAAAACGTTCTGCGACACAAGAAAACTGTACAAACGGGAGTAGATTACTTTCTCAAATAACTTTCCGAACACAGCTAGGGTAGATACTGGCCTATAGTTTTCGAGATATTCTGTACCGTCTTTTTTGTATATAGGGCTAATTTTACCAATTTTCAGTCGGTCTGGAAAAGTTCCATTTCTCATGTGTTCATTAAATAATACTGACAGGAGTGGGCTTATTTTTTATTAAATACTTTTCAAATTTTACAGAGTACAGCAATAGATTAATATAAAATAGAATCGTTCAAAATATCGCCCCCATCTGTAAAATATGATGGGCACCCAAACACGGTAAACACATAGTGAACTATGTCCGCAGTAACTTGGACCCATTACATCGAATTAATCTAAATCCAAAAATTTATGAAAAACTATTTAATAACAAACAAATCCATGGTGAATAACTGTGGATATATAGTCAAAATTGGTATTTCAATACGTCAAATTCCAGATACATTAGATACAGGTCTGATATGGTCATTAATGTGTGAGGTGTGCGGGTGAAGTGTGATATGATGTTGAAAGTATAGGAAGGTAGATAAAAAATTAATAAAACAAAAATAATAATAATATGGGGAGAAAAGAGACTAGGCTAGGCTGTTGTTTCACTATCCAATAAACATTTCCATAGATGCTTAGTGACCTCAGCTTTGAAAACACTAGTAGACACAATCTGTCTTACCTGTAAAGGGAGTCCATTCCACAGTATATGAGTTCTGTAGAAAAATGATTTTGCCAGTGGGCTATTTGAGGTACATAAGGTGTGTGAATTCTGACTTAACTTAGGTAAAATTGATGACACAATAGACAGACTGTTCGTTTGATGACGTGAATAGGGATGTCACTAGCTTTTCCATTCTTGAGTTCGCTAATGATTTTCTCTATTTCTTCTGGTGTACAATCGCTGAGAAATATACTTGAGGTATTTGGCCTTGGTAAGTAGTCCGTAAAGCATTGAATTGGACTTAGTCTAATTTGACCGGTTGTACTGTATGATTCATTCAACTTAGGGGCAAGAGATACAAAGTAATTATTAAATTCGTTAGCTATAATTCTACGGTTCATTATTTTCTCATTATTAATAACAAACGGGGGTTTAATTTCTCGTTTCCCTTTGCCGCGTATCTTATTGATTAGTTGCCATGTTTTCTTACTGTCACCTTGAACTTCATTAAATTTACCCATATTGTACGAAGTTTGAGCCTTTTCACGTATAACTTTGAGTTCTTTTCTATAATATTTATAAGTTAAGTACTCACTGCGCTTTTTGTTACATACTGCGCAGTGACAGAAGCCACCTTTTGTGTCAGTATCTCCTAGATTGCACTTGACTTTGCGAGCTTTGACCCAGTTTTCGTATAGTTCGTGACAGTGATTTATTGATGTTATAATTGCTGGTGTAATCCATGGATTGTTTTGCATAGTGCGTTTTGTACATTTCGGGGTTTCTAACTTGAAACATTCGTCAAAAGCAACGTTAAATGTGTCAGCAAAGGTATCAAAACAATTTATTACAGTGTTATCAAGACTATTGGATAGTTTGTCGGTGAACTTATCTACGTTAGAGTTACAGTAGTCATAAAACTGTTCATACTTAATCTTGCAATCGTTCTGGTCAAGGTGTGTGTTGAGTGCTAAGAATATGGGGTGATGATGTGTGATTTTGTCTTTGAATGTGCCAGATGTTATAATGTTGTCTAAATCATTGGTAATGATGTTATCGATGCATGAAGGAATACAGCCGGGTTTTTCATGGGTCATTACAGATATGAGAGGATAGAAGCCTCGACTGTAAAGAACGTGTTCATATTTAGCAACCTTGTTGCTGTCGCCGTGAAGATTGATGTTAAAGTCACCAGCTATATACGAGTGTCTGGGGACTTTGTCCAGAGTGTCGGCTAGTTCACTTAGCGCTAAGTCAAAATTGCCACTCGGAGGGCGGTATAAAACTCCAACAAAGGTGCTTGAGTTACCACTGTTGAATCTTAAAAATAGGATTTCTAGGTTTTCACTCACATAGGAGAGGGTATTATCGATTGTTGCATTTAGTGACTGGTGGATATAAATTGCAACTCCGGTGCCCTTCTTTTTCTCTCGAAAGGTTGCTTGGTAAAAACTATTGTATTCGGTTAATTGATACAAACTACTTAATTCAGGTCCTACATTTGTTTCAGCAAGTGCAATTATGGAAAACTTTTTGTTATATCGGCGAAGATCTATACACATAGTATCAAAGTTACTTTTGTTACCGTCTATGTTTTGAAACATCATTGACATTTGACCTTCGGTTAAAGTTTCTAGAGTTTGATTAATTTGACTTCTGTTAAGCTGAGAACAACTGTTTAAAATTTGCGAGAGCTTAGTTATCGTATCGTCTAGATCGATTTCTTCGTCGGAAATATCATATTTGAACGGGTTGTATCGTTTTACAGCAAGATTTACACATGTATTGCAGAGAAAGTTACCGCATAAATCGGTATTGACAATATTGTAGCATTTATGATGAGTTGCATGGTTACATTCGGAACACTCGACTATGGCTTGGCCCACATAGATACCCTTGCAGCAGTGTTTACATACCTCTTTAGTTAGAGTAGTCATGACGGTTGGTAGCCGTCAGGAGCACCAGATACTCGTTTATCAGCAGGAAGAGAGCGTGCAGTTATGTCACGAAATGATGTGGAGTCCACCTGATTCCCCCCTCGTCCAGCTCTGCGTCTGTCTCGACCACCATTAACTCTAAGAAGAATAGTATTTTTAATGATTGCTGCTAATTTTGCAACCCCCCTCCAATTGAGGTGTAAGTAATCAGGTTTCTGGAACTTCGTCAACCTTTTTGACAAGTGTTGGCTTAATAGCCCGTTCTCATCAGCAAAGCTTGGAAACCCTTCTACCAGTCTCACACCAAAGTTGAAAGGGAGAAGCTGGGTTTGTATCAGATAGTTAAAGAAATTGACTCTTCTATTTAAATCAATACATTTAGTTGGCAGCAGCGGACATATATAAACATTAGTTTTTTTATTGACAGCTTGAATTTCAGCAATTTTACTAGTAAATTTATTGAACACTTGTTTGATGTCAGATGGAGTTTTGACATTATCCTGCCTAATATCATTGAGTCCGCAGAGAATGACAGTGTTTTTGTAGCCGCAGGATTCGTATGGGTCAATGTGGTCTACAGTAGGTGCGAAGACTTGTTTTCCAGGAAGGAACTTTCCAAAGGATCTCTTAGGATCAAGTCCAAATTTAAGTCCACCAGTGTTCGAATCTCCCATGATGCATGTAGAAGCACGGTTTAGAGCACTAACAGATCTGAGGGTCACAGAGTATCGAACACCGGAGTCGACAGATCCTGATTCAATTCTGTGTTCGTACAAATCCTGACTTGCCCTGGTCATAGTGTATAGTGATCGTGGTGGACAAGACTGGTTGTGATAGGGTTCTGTGGTGCCAGTCTTGCTGAAAGTGACTGTGCAATGGTGACCTAGTGAAAGTGTGTGTACTGATGAGTCAGGGTGAATGAGGGGTTCGTTGTCTGAGTGTTGTGGAAGGAAGCTTGAGTGACCATCATACCGATTGATGAGAATGCTGTTGACAGGTGGAGAGTTTGGATGATCATTGTTCAGTTGTGTTATGAGTGATTGGAGTTGGTCTGGGAGTTGGTCGGATGAGGGTGATGATTTTGTGCCAGTGTAGTGATATCTTTCTCCAAAAGCCAGAACAGATCGTCCATTCTCATTCTTGAACTCAGATGTGCGAGAATCAAGCATTTCTATGAGATCCTTCTCTGTCTCTTCATCAATAAAATCGAGAGTGTGTTTAGAGACAGGCGGGCGACTGTGTGGGGGCAGCTGGGTTACAACCTGGGTGTTGAGCTCTTGTAATCCAGGGAGGGTCAGTGGATGCTCTGAGGAATGCTGCAGATTTGCTGTTGATTGCTTCAGCTCCTGCTTGCATACCTCTCTGAGCTCTTGTGACACCCGTTCAAGGAGCTTTTCAGATTGATCTGATGTTGGTGAGGTGGTCATGTCTGATGATAGGGATGTGACTTGCTGTTTGAGTTCATTTAGTTGGTTGGTGAGTGAGTGGAAAGTCTTGTCATGAGTTTGTAAGGCAGTTGTGAGGTTTTCAATTGTGGTGTTGAGTGGTGGTGTGGGTGATTTATCTAGGGTAGTGGCCAACTGGTCTGAAAGGAGCTTTATATCTGAGTCTAAGGATTTCCAGGGCTGGTCTTTTAGGAGGAGGTGCTGAAGGCGTTGGTCAAATTGGCCAAGTGTGTCAATTCTGTTACTGAATTGAACAAAGTCAATATCCTTAATGAGCTTGCAACAATTGGCTAAGGGTTCTAGTTGTGATGAAATGAGTGCTGTTTCTGCTTCCAGGTTTGACTGCTGTAGTGATAAAGTGTTTCTGCAGACGTGACAGACGTCAACTTGGGTGGATATAGTAGCAATAGGTGATACAAAACAAAAGGGACAGGGCCATTGTGTGAGATCATTGAGCATCTTACTATTTAGTCCATTAAGGCCTACGCAGTTCGCATGCCAATACTGTCCACATATATAATTTTCTCGAATAACTTACCAAATACGGCTAAGGTAGAGACTGGTCTATAGTTTTCAAGTAATTCTTCATTTTCTTTCTTGTATATGGGACTGATCCTGCCAATCTTTAAATCGTCCGGGAATATTCCCTCCTTCAAACATTCATTGTATAGTACAGATAATAGGGGGGCGATAATTCTGGATGACGCTTTTACAACATGTATTGGGATATCAGACGATTTGCCATTTTTCAATTCTGATATTATTTTACATACTTCATCGATTGTACAATCATGCATGTAAATACTGGTCGTGTTGGATTTTGGTAGGTAGTCATAGATACTGGGGATGCCATTAATTAATAGTTCGCCGATTTCATTGTATGCCTCGTTAAGATTAGAAGCTAGGGAGACAAAGTACTTATTAAACTCATTAGCTATTACCCTACGATTAGTAATTTTTTCATTATTGATAGTAAATAGAGGTTTGGTTTGTCGTTTTCGTTTACCCCGTATTTGGTTAATTAATTCCCACGTCTTTTTACTGTTTCCGTGCAACTCTGCAAATTTTCCACCATAGAACTTAGATTGAGCATTGCGGCGATCTTTTTTGACCTTCCGCCTGCAGTCACTGTATTTTTTATACTTGTCACGTTTTGAGCAACATATTGGGCATTGGCATGTCCCCCCTTTATTTTCAATTTCCCCAAATTTACATTTAACTTTTCTGACCTTTACCCATTTATCGTAAAGTTCGTGCTGATATGAAATTTTGCCCACAAGGCCAAGGTCTGGTGTAATCCATGGGTTGTTCAGTGCTGTTCTTTTAGAGCATTTAGGGGTTTCTAACTTACAAGTTCTATCTATACAGTCCTTAAATATGTCGTGAAATGTTGTAAAATTGTCGATAACATTATTATTGAGATCATGTTCCAGAGTCTGTAAAAAAGCTTTTACATTCGGTTTGTTGTAATCATAATACTGTTTGTATTTCAGGTCAATTCTGCTAGAGTCCAAGTTTCTATCAAAGATTTGGAAGATGGGTGAGTGGTGTGATATACGGTCAGTCAGTATTCCAGAAGCTACTATACTCTCTACGTCGTTAGTTATTATGTTATCAATACAGGATGCTTTGCAGCCTGGTTTCTCATGTGTTGCTAACGAAATTAGGGGGAAAAATCCTTTACTTAATAGTATTTCTTCATAGCGTTGTACGATTGTGCTATTCTTATCGTGTAAATCAATGTTAAAATCACCCGCTAGGTAACTACACTTGGGGAGACTGTCAAGGATGTCAGAGAGTTCAGATAGTGCAACATTGACATTACCACTTGGAGGACGGTACATTACACCAACTGTTACTGGGGAAGTTGTACTACTTACGGCCACAAAAAGAGTTTCTAAATGTTCAGTGATATGGGATACATTGCCGTTTACTCTGGCACTAAGAGTGTCACAAACATAGAGAGCCACTCCAGTGCCCTTTTTTTTATCTGGTATTGTGTTTTGGTAGAAACTGTTGTATCCAGTTAATTGATACAAACTGCTGGATTCAGGACCTTCATTTGTTTCCGCTAACCCTAATAGGGTTAGGGTTGTGATAAGGGTTATGGATAGCTTTGGGGTTATGGTTGGGGTTAGGGTTTGCTCTAACCAGAGCCTTCTCGCTTTCCTTAGCGCGCGACCGCCGAAGGCTTGTGAAACAAGAGCGTCACGTAGTACGCGTAGAACATGGCTATGTGAAGGTTAGGGTTGGGATTAGGTTTATGTAAAACCGTTTTATACGGCTGCAAAACCATTGTAGTTTTACAACCTACTGCAGGACGCGCGCCGAGTTGGATTCGTCGACGGTCCTGGAATAATAATATCTGGAACAGATATTTGACGAGTATCACCCGTTAAAAAAACCATAAAAACCAAAGTCACCTGAAAAGCCATTTATAGTAGACTTTTTAATATAATTTGTTCAAAAACTGTCCTTGGTAAAATTTTTTGGCAATACTTTTCAAACCATTTTTTGAAAAATTATATAATGATATACATAATTTGTAATCAGCGCAAAAATTTCACTCCCATAATAATGCACAACTTTTGGTAACCAAGTCAAAGTTGTTTTCATTTGGGATAGGTTTCGATTGTTAAGCGTCTTTTAAAATACAGGTGAAATCATGTATAATTTATTTGGTTTAAATTTCTTTAAGAAAGAAGGATTTACCGTCTCACACTCAAAAGAATTATGTTTTATCATCAAGAATCAACCAGAGTCCCATCCCTATTGACAAATTAATATAATACCTCAATATACATCAACATACTTAAATATATAATATATATATAAACAGTCGATATCACAATAATAATAGATTTTTCTAACTTTTTGCCATGTCCAAAGAATGTAAGCGGTTTCTAAATAGAGTGGCAGACCTCATCGCCAGAAAAAGAAAAGAGAGGTATTGCGATGTGGTAAGACATGTAAGGACAAGAATAAGATTCGCTATGTTAAGAACCACACTCATAGCTCTTCGAGGATACAGAGGGAAAAAAATGGACAGCAAATATGAGACACCACTATCAGAAGTCTCATATAACCTCATCCCTGCCCCTATGATGGAGTAGATGTGTATATATCTGATTGTTGATATTTAATATTATATAATATTGGTAGCAGTGGACAATTTCCGTTACCTCTGTATTGTGCTCTGCCAATTGCAACACTTGAATTACTTTATTGTATATATACTGTTTGACAAAAAAAATGTCACTTTTTGCCATGTCACATGTTCGCTGACGATCCACTGACTGTGAAACAATTTATTTGCAACTGTTATTGTCGTCATATCAAGCGATTCAATCAAATAAAGGTACAAATGATCCCATCTCCATAAAATGATACTCCGAATAACAAACACACACTCTGCACTCTTAGTACTTCAGTTGACTGAAAGATGACACCTAATAACCTCTTAAAATCAAACCTGAGATGGGTGGTACAGGTGGGATTCGAAGTTGTAGCCTTTTGATGACAAACTATCAAATCCTGAACTAAAACAAAACAGCTGAAAAAGTAACCCCCGGCGGGGCTCGAACCCGCAATCCCCGGCTTAGAAGGCCGATGCCTTAGCCATTAGGCCACGAAGGCGACAATGAATTATATTTCAGGGTCTCATTATAATTATTTGGACCATATAATGACATTGAATCTATTGGCATTGTCCTTCCTCATTCAACTAGGACAAATTATCACATTTCAGCTTATAGTCTTTAATCTTAGCTCTGAATTAAGTCTTCAAAGTAACAAACAATCCCCTTAGTAACAACAGGTCCCCTTGTCACACAGTGGGCCAGAATAGGGGCTATATTAGAATGTTAGTACCATCCAAATATGTCTGAAAGGTGTTCTATAGACTGCTTTGGCCCAAAAAACGATCCAAACCATACACAAAACGACCCTACTATACACAAAAACTGAGAAAATTGGGGATTTTTGAATTTGATGCTCCTTGAATTTTCAGCCCCAAAATGCCACATAAGCCAGTCTTGAGGTGCTTTACTTGTAGCTGAACACTTCCAGGACTTTTATTTAAATTTTCATTAAGATTGAACAAAAGATGGCCGAGTTATAACAAAAATATGTATGCCCATATTTGGGCACAAGCCCCAGATAACATAGTTTTAGCCAATAAATTGGTAAAAAATCGGCATTTTAAAAAAAATGCCCCTTAATGCTTATGATGATTTTTTAAAATCTTGTAGGGAATCCTCTAGGCTTTCAGATAGAATTATGGAATAGGGCGGCAAAGGCCGGCAACACAACTATTTTTGGCCTAAAATTTGCCCTAAAAATGAGACAAAAACTCAGGCTCATGTCAAAAATCAGCAAAATTAGATAGCCTATTAAGGTTTTTTCCAATAAATTAAGGTGTGAGAGTTGTTTGGAGTTATGAAAGGAGTCAATTTACTTTATATCATCTTATAAATAAGGAACAGACATAGAGTAAGAGCTATTTTTCACTGCCAAAAAGCAAAAAAATGAGTTAGCGAAAAATGATCTGAAAGGAAAACATTTTTCCTATCAGATCATTTTAAATACATCTTAAACTGACAAACTCAATTTTGAGCCTAATATAGCCTGGTGGCCCACTGTGTATCATGTGATAACATATCCCCCTGTCAGTGCTGAACTGTCCTCTTGTAGTAACAAATAATCACCTGAGTACCTCTTATCCTTTGAGGCTGAGTAACAAAAAGATAAATGTTTGGTTGATTTTTCCCCATGGGTTTAGACTGTGTAAAATCGGATGAAACCTCAACTTGATCAAATTGCATTTACTCCAGTCAGTCATGTACAATGTACATAGTTAAGTATCAATTGTATAAATTTGCTGTTGATAAAATTTCTTTTAATTTACATTTTATTATTGAAACCTATTTTTAAATCTTGGAATCCACTAAGAAAACACTGCTTTATTGTTACACTCCACATTGTATTAATTAAGCTACTGTTACCTAATAGGTTTGAACATATGCCGGTTTCAAGACCAGCCAAGAGAAGTTTTCAGGCACCCTTCAAAGCACCCTTCAAAGATGGGTGAGTAGAATCAGTGTTCTGATAAAGTTACCTTTGAATGTAGACAAAAAACATCATGTTGTCCTAATGCTTATATAAATCGTTAAGGTGTTTATTTCAAACGGCTTGTTGCCCTTGTTGCTAAAAAGTGACTGGATTCAAAGACAAATTACTTCTCTTACTGTGTTACTCTTGTAACATTGATCATCAAATTACCCCAATTACATGGTGTTGTAATTTATAATATAAGTAACAGAGAAATAGTAATATAAGTATTCAAATGATATGGAGAATTAAAATATTGTGCATTATCTTACTATATATAAAGCGAGACGATATATATATATATATTTATTTATCCGCACCATTTTACTGACACCACGGCATCAACTTTAACACGGGTTTCCGCAAAAACCGTACAAGATATAAAACTGAAACTTTTTTAACTGATTCAAATGCTTTAATGGCCTTCAAATCAGCATGAAGAAATCGAAAATCGGCCAAGGAATAAGAATTTTAGTACCCAAAATTTGGACTCCCAAGTGGTGTCAAAAACGCGAATTAAATAGGTAATAATTATTTTTACTGGGAGACTTTAGGGTAGGGAACTGATCCGGCCACCAAAGAGCCTTGACACCAGTCTTAAAGGTTTGACGGGTTCCTGCTAGTTATGATAATGCAGCTACGTATTGATGATTTGTATTTTCTATTTGTACATTTTATTGTTATCGAGAACCAGAGATTTACATTTACTGTGTCAAATTCAATCTTAGTTCAAGACGATTCCTTGTCTCCCAGAAAACAGGAAGACGATTTTGAGAGTTTGTCCAAAACCCCGTGTACACCTGCTACTGACGAAAAGGAGAATACCCCGTCCAATTCAAATGGTTAGTTATTACCTTCAAAACTTTCTTGTCCACTTAAACTTAAATTTAATGCAAATGGTTAGTTATTACCTTCAAGACTTTCTTGGCCACTTAAATTGAATCAAATAACATGATAACATATTATAGCGAGAGCTCATCTGATTGATGGTTGATGGGTGATGGGTGATGGGTGATGGGTGATGGGTGATGGGCGATGGGTGATGGGTGATGGGTGATGGGTGATGGGTGATGGGTGATGGGTGATGATTGATTTCTATTGTTACACCAAAAGATGTTTTGAACTGTTTAAGTAGTAAAGGTTAAAATGTTAAAGCTAACCTTAAACAAGTAGTTTAAAGTGAGTAAACACCAAACGGAAACATTGAAATAATTGATCAGCTCGTTACCATCAATATTATATTGGCAATAATAGTTTCAATAGAATTAATTGTAGTGAATGAAGATTTGAAATGATGTTGTAAATTTGATCAATTATCATATCATCATATCATGTCTTTATTGTCTAATGACTGCAACTGACAACCTATTATATTACAAATTTTCAGAGTCAGTGACGAAATCTAACAAGAGGACCATGTCAGTTCACTCCTTTAATCCTCACAGTAACCTTTGTTGCACATTTTCTCAACTTTTCACAGTTTGATAAAAAACAAGTTCTCAAAAGAGCTCACTAACGTTCAATAACAATCACACTGATCACATATTTACACTCATTACTTCTCACCATGATTAACTTAACGTTGGAACCTGTACTGAAACGTAGATTACTTAGATTTACTTAGATTAATTAGATTACTTAGCCTCTAGAGTCTAGCTATCAAACAATAACATTTGTGTAGTTTTATGTTAGTTTTGTACAGAATACAGACGTTGTCTAATGTCTATTGTCTAACCATTAACGAGTTTGAATTTGCAGCAAACAAGCAGATTTCAAGGCATCCACAAAAAAAAGAAAGTCTGCACGATTTAAGACTCCTGTGCCAGTAAAGACAACGGATACCGTAGATTGTGGCGAATTTGATGCTACCCTGCAGTACGACGAAAAGTCAAGTCGAACTGATGGAACAAAAAATAAAAAGTACATATTTGTAATTACGAAATTACTGCTGAACTGTAGTCTGTATTTAAGAATTTAGCCTAGAGTCATAGTATTCTGATGAGAGGCTGTACTCATAAACTGGTATTTTGTCTTAATATTTCTTACATTTTCGGTAGAAAGAGAGATTTTGCAACGCCTCAACAGCTCCGCAAATCGGCGAGAATGAAGACACCAGTATCGGAGAATACCCAATCAAAATTAGACTTTGACAGTTTAGAAACAACACCACTCCCTAACAGTGAGAATACAACCGATCTCACGGCTTCTTCCACACCTGCAATACATTCAGACAAGGACTTTGACAGTCTGGGGAATACTCCTTCAACTGAAAAGTTCGTTTACATACTATTACTCTAAAGAATTTATTAACAATTGATAGTCACGGTGTGATTAAGAAGATATTGATTTTACGCTTAATTTCCCACTCATTTCAGGATTCCAGCGGATAAAGTCGAGGAAGCTACTCTAGAAGTTGGTGCTAATGATGAAGTGCAGGGTCGCAAGGAGAATGATAATTCTAATGCTGGTTAGTAGTACATACTTAATCGGTAATGCTGATTCAGTAATCATGCAGCTGAGAATGTTTTAAAATGCGTCTATTTTGACTAACCGTTTTGGTTACGATGCCTTCCCAGCTTTTTAATGAACTGAATAGGACCAAGTTTCTTAAATCTTAGTCCTATGATTAATATGATGTATTTGGACAGGAAGATGCAAAAGAAAGAGGAAACAAACTGATTTCTTTGGTGACGTTAAAGACAGTAGCAAAGCAGAAATCATGGGCACCAAGTCTGCATCTAAGGCACAAAAAACAGATAGTAGTTCGAGTGAATCGGAGAGCAGTGAAAAGGATGACTCTAAAACTGAGATTACTGTACCGAGCAAGAGACGTACTTCATCTCAAAGAAGACAAACGATGTCTCAGAACGTTTATCAAAGAAGATCGATCGAGATGGTTCCTAAAAATGACCGTTTTCTCCAGATCCATGAGGTTGCTTATCATCCTTCTCTTGCTAAACACAGGTTGGTCATTGGTGAAATTGGGTTGTTGCCACCCTGTTTAAACGTTTAAAATTAAATACGTGTAAATAAAACTTGCCCTTATTGGGGCTCTTAGAAACTTCGCGTCAGTAGATCAGGGCACTGTAAACTGGGTTATGGAAATGTTTCACGTCGACATTTTATATAATTGTATTCGTTTCAGAGGATGGGAAACAGATGGTGTTAGAGCGTGGGTAAAACCACATCCGTTACCACTGAAGATTAACGCAAACTTCACTGAACAGGAAATTCAGGCCGCCAGAAACTTTTCGCCAGGTCCTCCAGTTTGGTATGTATAATGTATTAACTGTTATTGTATTAATCTTTTAGTTAAGTTGCATTGTATATGATGAGTTGTGAGTACCTGTGATACTTACTGCCTTTGTATCATTCAAGTAAGTGCATCAACAATTTTACTCCAAAATATCTTGAGAGGTGTACAAAGTAGACTTAGACCTCGTAAAGCCGAGCGTGAGTTTTTAAACAGTAGGAGCATCACGGCTGTCAACAGACAGCTGTCTCTCGAGAACTGTGATGCTCCCCACTAAACACTACAAAAGTAGACTTGACCTGGGTCTTTAATTTAATGTTTATATAGTTAAGGCAATTTATATTTCTAGATGTCTGCAGTAATAACTAAAGTTCATTACAGTCCGTGGTTGGTTAGATCGACGTGTCATGGGAGGTACCCACTAGACGAGATGGCTGTTCGGATTGCTTTAGAAATGAGGCGTAGTTTTCAGCTGTGGTTCAAGAAGGAGCGTCGCATATTTGAGAGGGGCTTAGCTAAACAAACCCTTTTTATAACAGCAATGAGAATCAACATCATCCCAAGGACTGATCCGACCTTACGTAAGTGTATTGTAATTTGTATTCTTAAAACTAAAGAAATCTTAAGTCGGAATGAATAGAAATACAAATCGTTCCGTCTTCAGGTCATTTGTTTTGCAAGATCTATTTTATGGGGAAGCATATGAAGTTCTTCTCAATACAAAACTTTGTTGACTGTTTGGATCTGCTGGCTGAGATTGTTGTTACACAATACTGGCACCCTCGAACTCAACCCGTGAGTTTATACTTGCAAAAATTGATGGATTACCACTGCACTGCAACTTCTAAATTAAACGTCCGATTTGCTAGTATAATACCTTTTTGCTGTTTATTCAAATAAGCATGTCTAAATTTGAAAGAATTTTCTGTTAAGTGTTAACCTGGTTTCTCGTTCTTAGATCGTAGAAGACTACATAGAAAAGGTAGCAAGTAAAGTTTTGAGGCATATGGACGATCACAGATTTAGCCCCTTGTACAGAGAGATCTTCAAACGAAACCAAATTCCGGTTTGTCGACATGGTCCACTGTGTTTTTTATTAGTTTGACGAAAGTATTGTAACAATAACATGAATAATATAATGAATAATATAGTTTTAAAATTAATGGACAAGAATAAACATAGGAGAATCATTCCAAAATCCTTCTCTCGTATCAGTACAGCGGCAAGGGAGTAATTCCGAGAGGATCTAAAGTAAGAGTGGTACAGCCGGGATGTGGCCCTCCATTTCTTACTCCTAAGGAGTTCGAGAGAAAGTTTGGAGTTTCTCCTAGGATCCGTACTGATGAGGAACTTACCAGAAGCTACGACAGTGTCGGTATGTACTGCATGTCAGAAGCTTTGTGCATTATCGTTGCAGAAATCAAATCATTGCTGCATTAGAGCATCAAATTGGATTTATGTCGATACTACTGCAAGGCAATAATACTACAAGCAACTCGATTACGTTAAAGATGTATGTTACAGAGTTATGCAATTTGCTATTCCATCGTCTCTCTGTTGATTGAGCAACTCTATATTGTGTCAGGTAACGTGATAGGACACTTCACTGTGCCCAATTTGAGAGAACTTCTTACACCAATAACACAACAAGTTGAAGAGTCCATTGAGAAAGAAGAGAGACCTGGGCGGGAAAAGAAAAGAAAGGTGACTTTTCTTGAAGTGATATCTTTTATCATTCTTGTCGCTTTTGGAGCAGCTTTTTATTATTTTAAAGTTATTTCTGATCATATTCAAATGTGTTGGCATGGTCCAAATTCACAGCCACAAAACAAATACATGAACCAAAATTGAATGGGCCCGATTTTAATTTCGATCTAACCTATCATCATCTCCTTCCCAGATTGGTAATTGGATGAGCTCGGAAAGACCTAAGAAGAGATTATGGAAACTCAAGAAGAGGTTGATGCGTCGAAAGAGCAGTTCAGGAACCAACAACGCATCAAGTATTCTAGAAAGAATTAAATGTTTGGTTCTTTCTAAATCCGCGGTATCTGTCAAAAAGGAAGAGTGTGGTGGAGATGGGTCACGTGATGGACAGTATAATACCACGGAAACATCCGAATTGAAACCACTCGACCAGCTCCATCCTTGCTCGGTTGAGTTAAGCGAGGTTTTAAAATCGATTTCAAACAGGAAGCAGACAATGTCACTGAACTTTGAGAATTGAAGCGTCTGAGACAATTCTGTTTTTGTTGAACTTGTTTTTTAAATTGATATTTATTATTTAAATCAGCCGCTCAGCATAGAAACTATTGACGAGTTTTTAAACATGACAGTGTCCAGAGGGAATTAAAATTGTAATAATATTGAAAGGATTATAAATGAATTTCATTAATTGTGTTAAGGCTACTTTTTCAAAAACTATTAATGTCAGACAAAAATGTAACCCTGGAGCTGGCCATCAAAAGTATTTCTTAAAATATGATCATCACAGAGAATTAATACAAATTTCAAAAGCTAAAGGTTTATCAAACAGAACCGTTTCAACTTCTTTTAATGTCTGGGCACACTCCTTAATCATATGGCAAGAAATTCAAGCACACTACAGGGGCATCATAGGTAAACTTTGTTCAGTTCGTTTTAATTATTACTTTTTGGCATAGTCACTCTCCATTAAATATTCATTTGTGAGCAAATCTTTAGTTATCCAATTCTGTACAAATTGAAATATAATTATGATTATTGTAAACGTGCGTTAACCAATCAAATTTTGAATATTTATTTTCTTTCGCAACGTTTAGCGCCACTGCTATTTCCAATCAGAGCACTACAGAATTACCTAGGTCGATCTTGTTAAACAGTATCTTGCCAGTTGAAAATATCAATATTTTCGTACGTGCACAAAATTAATTGCAAAATTCTTGTTATTTCATCCTTGTATCGCTGCAGTGCCCCCGAATGTTTTTTTCATTAATGAAATCTGATATCTGTAGCCCATGAAGTCAGTAACGGTGTAAGTACTACTGACGGTATTGTGTGATGGGTTGTGGAGCGTCCAGCACAGCTGTAAGTAGTTTTTAAAACAATTTTACAATGAACTTTACATTTTATTGAATAGATGCGCGGTCACAACACCTCTCAGTTGAAGACCTATCAAAAAATTTAATCAGTGTCTTTTTGCCTTTATCTCTTTCCACGCTTTGTTGTATTTTACTGTATACCTGTTTTAATGAGCAATTTCACTTACACTGAAAGACGAAGTAATTTGCTTGTTAGTAACCCAGTGATACAGCAACTAACGATTTTTGAACTTTATTTCCCCCAATTTTGATATCAGTGCTGCAAATAGGCATGAAAAATACTTTTTTGAAAGAATTCCAGAGATACTTTCAGAAAACAGGGACAGATGCCAATATCTCAATATGCACGTGCAATCTCTCGACAAGTGTACAAATTTAAAATCCTGTTGCAACCTGTACTGCAACTTGGCAAGAGTATAATCTTGCACAGAGTTAGTAGTTACTGTCAGGGATACGATGAATTAGTCTCGTCTTCCGACAGGACCTGTCACTTGATTTGCTGATATTTAGTAGATTGCTTTTTATTTGCTGACACTTTAAATGATTATACAGTTAACATCAAATTAGTCTCATTCCATATAAAGTTCCTCTTATTCTGCAGAACTCTCCCACGATTGACCCAAATGACGAACGAGAGAACGAAGAAACCCCTGATCTATCAGTTTTAATGTGAGTCTACATTAGATATGTTGGACTATCGGGAAGCTGACTCCCTTTCAACTGATAGTTACTTCATTATTCAAGGTCTTTCAATTGTTGGCCTTATCCTAATATGTTTTATCCTATTTTATAGTCATCTCCAAGCTAGGAAGTACAAGTGTAGCAGCTACACTTCGCGCTCAATCTAGTGATGAGCTACACTGTAGCTCATCACTAGATTGAGCGCGACCAATCTATTGATAAGCTACTCGTCCCCACTATTATACTTGGCCCGCATATTTCAAAGTAGGTATCTAAGAGACCCTCAGCTTACTCTAAATGATGGTAATGTTTCGCCCAATTTTAAGCAATTTTAGATCTATAATTGTAGTGAATAAAGGATCTGACAGTTACCACCGTAACAACATCCCCACATTCCCACTTTCCCACGTGTCAAGGTATTGTATCACCATCTTACTGTTGATATTACCACAGAGAATGAGTGGTCGTACAGAATGTTTTTGGGCTCTCAAAGCCTTGTTATACATATAATAATAGTGTCGATGATATCTGTAGTAAACACATATCTGTAGATTCAGTTACATGATATTGAATATTGATGGAATGATGTAATAACAATATGAATCGATCGAAATATTGTCAATCAGGGACACGCTAGATTACTTGGAATATCTGACGAAAGATTTCCTCAAACATCCAATTCAGAGGGCATTTAATTTTAATCCATGTATACGTATATATATATTATATATATATCCATGTACCACTACCAGATGCTCACACTAACCTTGTTATAAATGCGCATTTAATTTTTCGATCTATATCGATATTCGAGATCATGAAGTAATGGCTCGACGACGTAACAACCCTGCAATTCTATGAAGTGTACTGACTCAGGACTTAGCTAAAGTAGTATCCCACTATACTATTTCTACCACTCTAATAATAGGGAAGTTGTATCCCACTATACTATTTCTACCACTCTAATAATAGGGAAGTTGTATCCCACTATACTATTTCTACCACTCTAATAATAGGGAAGTTGTATCCCACTATATCTACAAACGCTCCAATGCTGCAGCACAGGAATTATTGCGTTTTATGGTTAGCTCTAACGTGAACATCTCCACGCTTTAATATGAGTCCTTGACCATATAAAGACCCTGAACCTGTCACGTCTGTAGTGGTTTGATAGTGTTAAACCCTCTCGGAATATCTCTCCGTGTGTCTGTGTCTCGACAGGACTCTCTGTTGCTTACAATATAAAGTGAAGTGATCTCTCTCTCTCTCTCTCTCTCTCTCTCTCTCTCTCTATCTCTCTCTATATCTCTATCTCTCTCTCTTTCTCTCTCTCTCTCTCTCTCTCTCTCTCTCTCTCTCTCTCTCTCTCTCTCTCTCTTTCTCTCTCTCTCTCTCTCTCTCTCTCTCTCTTTCTCTCTCTCTCTCGATAATTATCGTCACTCAGCGGTTTATCTTGTCATAATCACGTCAAAGGGCTAGGCAAGGATATCCTTTTTTCATAAGCCTATTAAATAGCACAGTGTAGTTTAATGATGGGAAAATAACTAGCATATCAACGTATGATTAACATTATTATATTCTAATCGAGGTATCTTATGATTCTTCAAAATAGGGGCAAGAAATGTTAATTTCGTCACATACGTCATAGTTAAAGTTGAATACATTTTCTTTCACGTCATCACTACTACTACTATAGGATATAGTAGCCTATGCCTTTTTTACACACTAAGTTAATATTGTTGTTATGTACGTACGCGTAATATTATGTTCATCATAGACTATTTCATTCTATTTCTATTGTTTCGAAATTTAACTTATAATTATCGATTTCTTATAATTTTTGTGACAATGTTAACATCAACTGCCTCTAACTTGAATCAAATATATCGTCCTCATAATTATATTATGCTCGGTTAAAAGTTGCCAAAATTATGCTTCTAATGTAGTACCAATATCCTCAACTTCAAATAAACATGTGCATATATTTTATAAATGGTCAATCGATATCTATAAATAGATAATTTAATCAGTAATAGCCAGTTATAGCCTAATCAACAATTGCAGAGAAATCCATGATGCGTTATCCATAGAGGATACTGCTTCAATACAAAGAATTCTATTTCCCCTATCTCGGGAGAAATTGATTGAACTGGACAAGAGCTATCGAAAGAAGTACGGTATCTCCTTTGCTGACTTGCCAGTACTGAAGACAGATCCTATTTGGGGAATGTTTTTCAGTGAAAATCTAGCGAAACAACAATTACAGAGGTTCCTAAATCAGGTATGGCCATATGAGGTATTATATTGGTTTTATGATTAAATTTACATGCCTGGTCTTCCTAATATCACATTGTTACACCATTATTTGTTTTCCGGAGGAGACTTGACTCATTTTGCCATAATAAGTCGAGTGTCACGTGACACGTCACTTTGACAGGTCTCATTTGTCGGAATTGCTCTCTATAAAGCCATATTGTATTTATATTTAAGAGAGTTTAAATAATATACCCCCTAAATAAAAATGAAAGAAACGTATATAATATATGTTTGATATTATATATATTATATTATGTAAATTGTGTAATATTTATATATAAAATATATAGCCATATATTGTTACAAGATTACAGGCTACATTTGACTAATTATAAATACACGTCTCCCCGGCCAGATTTTGAATTTAATCATATTACTTGCCAGTTGCCAAGCGTTCAACATTCGGCAAGTGATATATTTACCACTTTCATCAAGATAGCATATTATATAGATATTATACACATATATAAACCAGCCAATGTCTCTCAGGGTACGGGTGACATGTTGCTATTGGTCGATATCGTTCTGTCACTGCAGGATGGTCTGGACTTGCTGAAAGTCTTTAACGAAGGTATAACTCCAATATTAACAGTATTTTCTGTAGCAGCTGTACTACGCTGTGAGTACGTGGTGGACTTTATATTTACATATTGCTTTATAAAGCAATTGCTTTATAAAGCTTTATAAAGCTTTATAAAGCAATGTTGATTCTAATATAGCCGGGATTGTTTACGTCTACAATGTGCATTGTGCATTGTGCATTGTGCATTGTGCATCTCAATAATATGAGGCTGTCCAGATTCTGGCCACAGAGTTTTAAAATTAAAAATTAAATTACAAATTTGACAAATTATCCCATCGTAACTATATACGAAATCAATGAAATACACACCACTTGACCACTTTATTAAGCTTATGTCTTATATAATAATCTTATGCAGTACTTTTAAGCAACCATGTTTTCTTCAACAACACTCCTTATTACTAAGCTGGGTAAATGTAGATTATGCTGCAGATACATCACAGTCACGTGCTACATTAGCAGCGAATAAATCCCTTACACAATATTAAGTGTATAGTGCTTGCAGGTATCATGAAGATTAATACTCTATGCTGGGGTTCATACATTTACTGATTACTTTGCTGCACTACCTCGTCTCTTTTGTACAATATTGAGAATACTGAGCCAAGACCACATATATTCTGTTGCACTAAAAAGGGCAATATATCGAAAACATATATTCATTGGAACATATTATATGATATTATTGGAACAGCACATGTTCCAATTCATCGCTCCATGAAATAGTGTAATTGAGTTGAAAATTTGTGCGCCAAAAGCACTGACTACATATTATACATCTTGCCTGGCTGTAAAAATGGTGGCCGCAGTTCACTGATTAATTATAAAGGCGAGCTCTCTTCTCCATCTCTTGTTGTGTTACTGTGCAGAATACTATCACTGCTTCCCTGCAATTTCATGGCATGGTGGCTTACTACGCAAGGTAACCGTTTGATGTCTTTAAGTTCAAATTATAGAGGTTGACCAAGATGCAGTGGTCAATAACTCAAGATGGCATGGGGATGGCAAATGGGTGGTGGTTATTATTGATGAAGGTGAAGGTTGACTATACAGTATACACCTTAGGTATTTAAGTAGCTGAGTAATTAATTAACTTATGGCCTATGGGACAGTGGAGTTGAGACATATTATATTTGTTAAATTTTGCCCAGACAACAAACACGACATTACATCTTAAGACTTAATAAAACGCGTGGCAAGGTGTTTAACTTTTAGTTTTACGAATGAATGTTGTGGAATTAGGGAAGCAGCAATGTTGAGGATGTCTTCTAGTTAATTCGCTTTTTTACCATATTATACATAATATATAGTTACAGTTAAGCCCCAAAACTATCACAGTTAAGCGGTACAATAAAGTAAAAAACTAATTAGCTATTTTAATCTGGTAAATTGATTTGTCTGGTCAACTCCGGGCAGACAGAAAGTTTACTAACTAAGCGGTTAAAATATGTAATCTCGATAAGTAGATTATGTATAAAACCTTGAAACTCAGAAATAAAGTTACAAAACGTTCCGAATAAAATCATGCAGAGTGAGGGTCCGCAAATGGCGCCAAATGGATAAATAGCATAAAAATTAGAAACTGATTAATTAAGTTTCATATACATATAATAACATTTAAGAGAGCAGTAATCTTGGGATTTATCTTATCAGACTACATTTTTAAGCTGGACGCTTCATAATTCATATTTAACCTATTAGTATTAAGAAAATTCGCCGAGATGTCTGAAAAAGATTGGTACTGATCACAGTCGATATCTTTAATGCTGGAAGTGGAAGAGTCTGCCTTTAATTAAACTTAACACATTGCACAAATTGAAAAAAATCTTACTTCAGATTAGAAAATCACATCTTTTTTATTTCCACTTCCATTAGTTACTTACAGCCCAGTTCCACGGCTCAGTTTTGCGACCAAATTTGACACAAAAGTCCGCGAAAAGAGTTTTGAAAGGGTAACTCCGCGAAGGCAGTTTTGTTTACAATGTACGTTCCCACGGTTAGTATTTGCACGCAGATTTGTGCGCGCACGTGGGCGCATTATAATGAAATTTAACCCACGCGAGCGCCCAGGTTAAAACTACTTTCACGGAGTTTTGGGTCATATCAAAAATATTTCTCCGTGCGGAGAAATATTTTTGAATTTCATTTCCGGTCGCAAAAATGTGAGAAAAAATGTGAGCAAATCTGGTTGCAAAACTGAGCCGTGGAACTGCAGGGTTAGAGCTTATCTCTGTTATCGCATATTAATAACCTGTTGCAGAACATTGCATTGAACAATTTAATATTTTTCTAGCCAGGGAAACGATTGATATTCACTAGGAGGAAATTTAAGTACAAACAGCAGTAGTTAAAGTAGGAAAAGTTAAATTAAAAAGGATTTAGAATGATTCTCTTGTCTTTTACCTACTTCTTCTGTTTCAGAGATCGTCCGAACGCTAGACTCGAAATTTGAAACGGAGAAAGACGTCCTGAACCTCATCAAGGTTTGTTTAATTTTAATTATATGCATGTGTTACAAATTCTGAGTTGCAATTTGTGTCACCTTTAGTTGGTGGTTAGTAATTAGTATATATCACGGATGTAAACTAGATCTATATTGTGGTGATTGATACTTAAATTTATTTCGATATCTTCGTTGAGTATTGTATAAAAGGATCGGGATCGCTGGGGATAATCGGTATAGCTGCTCATGCCACGCCGGGTATTGCAAGTTTTTATGAGAGAAACTGGGAAACTGGGAGGGGCTGAGGATGATATAAAATATACAATAGGTTGGTTGTATATTTACCTGTACAGTCACGTGTGTTGCATTCCTGAGCCTCTGAGCTTTCTCCATCACATTCAGTTCCACCGTGAGCAGGAGCAGGATTTGTGCAGGTTCTGGTTCTTGACTGGGATCCTCCTCCACAAGTTTTAGAACACTCTGACCACCCTCCATAGCTGCTCCATCCGCCATCAACTGAAATACGTAACAGTGTGATAAACTCGGCTTAGGACAACATTTCTAAACAAATCAGTATACTTGGTAGTCCAGAATAATGCACGACCAAGCTCCGGAATAATGATAAAGATAAATTTGTTCGATAACTTTAAAAAAAAGCTAAAGCGTAAGGTATTTGTTCAACTGACCTTTACGATCATTCTCGAGGCAGCTTAAATCCACAGAGTTTACACCTTCCTTCGCTACCTTATCTCCGAAACCAGGATTCTTCAGGAAGCATCTGACAACACTGTTTTTCCAGTTAACCCCTGCGCAGGTCTGAGCACCCATACTAACACATTCGTCCACACAACCCTGAGAGGTTTATTTTATTAGTTTTTCAGCTGTCAATTACCTGATACCAGTTACTGGCTACATACGCTAGGTAGTTAATTGTTTCTCCAGATAAATTTGTTCAAACTGATTTCAGTGCTCAACCTGTACCTCGCCTCTGAGATAAAACTCAGTTTATGATATCGATGGAGACAATTTATCCCGCAGTCCGCACCAAAAACAGTAAAAATAATAATGATACTCATTCTAAGGAATTTGAAATTATAGGTATTTCATGGTCAATTTTTAAGAATGACTTTTAAGAATGATAAAGCTCTTAAACCTTGATGCCGCTCAGACCATCTTCGTAGGTGTGCGTTCCTGGTAAGTTTTGGCCGACGTTTGTGCATCTCCCTATTTCTGAATTCGTGTAATCTGAAATAGAATCATAAAATAGTGCAAATTACACGAACTCAATCATAATTAATCATTACAGATAACAGATTAGGTGAAAATATACCATTTCTTAAAACAACTTTGAAGTTGATAACGTCGGACATATTGCAAGTTCCGACTACCTTATTACATGAAATTTGAAACGGAGAAAGAGGTCCTGAACCTCATCAAGGTTTGTTTAATTTTAATTATATGCATGTGTTACAAATTCTGATATGAATAGTGATTGAACACGTAAGTTTTAAAATCACTAAAGATGCCCAGTTGGAATTTGTGTCACCTTTAGTTGGTGGTTAGTATATATCACGGATGTAAACTAGATCTATATTGTGGTGATTGATACTTAAATTTATTTCGATATCTTCGTTGAGTATTGTATAAAAGGATCGGGATCACTGGGGATAATCGGTATAGCTGCTCATGCCGCGCCGGGTATTGCAAGTTTTTACAAGAGAAACTGGGAAACTGGGACGGGCTGAGGATGATATAAAATATACAATAGGTTGGTTGTATATTTACCTGTACAGTCACGTGTGTTGCATTCCTGAGCCTCTGAGCTTTCTCCATCACATTCAGTTCCACCGTGAGCTGGGGCAGGATTTGTGCAGGTTCTGGTTCTTGACCGGGATCCTGTTCCACATTCCTTAGAACAGTCTGACCACTCTCCATAGTCACTCCATCCGCCATCAACAGGGCAGCTTTGTGTGTTGCAATCTTGAGTCTCAGTGTTTTCTCCTACACATTCAGTTCCACCGTGAGCAGGAGCAGGATTTGTGCAGGTTCTGGTTCTTGACTGGGATCCTGTTCCACATTCCTTAGAACAGTCTGACCACTCTCCATAGTCACTCCATCCGCCATCAACAGGGCAGCTTTGTGTGTTGCAATCTTGAGTCTCAGTGTTTTCTCCTACACATTCAGTTCCACCGTGAGCAGGAGCAGGATTTGTGCAGGTTCTGGTTCTTGACTGGGATCCTGTTCCACATTCCTTAGAACAGTCTGACCACTCTCCATAGTCACTCCATCCACCATCAACTGAAATACGTAACAGTGTGATAAACTCGGCTTAGAACAACATTTCTAAACAAATCAGTATACTTGGTAGTCCAGAATAATGCACGACCAAGCTCCGGAATAATGATAAAGATAAATTTGTTCGATAACTTTAAAAAAAAGCTAAAGCGTAGGGTATTTTTTCAACTGACCTTTACGATTATTCTCGAGGCAGCTTAAATCCACAGAGTTTACACCTTCCTTCGCTACCTTATCTCCGAAACCAGGATTCTTCAGGAAGCATCTGACAACACTGTTTTTCCAGTTAACCCCTGCGCAGGTCTGAGCACCCATACTAACACATTTGTTCACACAACCCTGAGAGGGTTATTATATTAATTTTTCAGCTGTCAATTACCTGATACCAGTTACTGGCTACATACGCTAGGTAGTTAATTGTTCCTCCAGATAAAGTTGTTCAAACTGATTTCAGTGCTCAACCTCGCCTCTGAGATAAAACTCAGTTTATGATATCGATGGAGACAATTTATCCCGCAGTCCGCACTGAAAACAGTAAAAATAATAATGATACTCATTCTAAGGAATTTGAAATTATAGGTATTTCATGGTCAATTTTTAAGAATGACTTTTAAGAATGATAAAGCTCTTAAACCTTGATGCCGCTCAGACCATCTTCGTAGGTGTGCGTTCCTGGTAAGTTTTGGCCGACGTTTGTGCATCTCCCTATTTCTGAATTCGTGTAATCTGAAATAGAATCATAAAATAGTGCAAATTACACGAACTCAATCATAATTAATCATTACAGATAACAGATTAGGTGAAAATATACCATTTCTTAAAACAACTTTGAAGTTCTGACCACCTTATTACACGAAATTTGAAACGGAGAAAGAGGTCCTGAACCTCATCAAGGTTTGTTTAATTTTAATTATATCTATGTGTTACAAATTTTGATATGAATAGTGATTGAACACGTAAGTTTTAAAACCACTAAAGATGCCCAGTTGCAATTTGTGTCACCTTTAGTTGGTGGTTAGTAATTAGTATATATCACGGATGTAAACTAGATCTATATTGTGGTGATTGATACTTAAATTTATTTCGATATCTTCGTTGAGTATTGTATAAAAGGATCGGGATCGCTGGGGATAATCGGTATAGCTGCTCATGCTGCGCCGGGTATTGCACGTTTTTATAAGAGAAACTGGGAAACTGGGACGGGCTGAGGATGATATAAAATATACAATAGGTTGGTTGTATATTTACCTGTACAGTCACGTGTGTTGCATTCCTGAGCCTCTGAGCTTTCTCCTACACATTCGGTTCCACCGTGAGCAGGAGCAGGATTTGTGCAGGTTCTGGTTCTTGACTGGGATCCTGTTCCACATTCCTTAGAACAGTCTGACCACTCTTCATAGTCACTCCATCCGCCATCAACAGGGCAGCTTTGTGTGTTGCAATCTTGAGTCTCAGTGTTTTCTCCTACACATTCAGTTCCACCGTGAGCAGGAGCAGGATTTGTGCAGGTTCTGGTTCTTGACTGGGATCCTGTTCCACATTCCTTAGAACAGTCTGACCACTCTCCATAGTCACTCCATCCGCCATCAACAGGGCAGCTTTCTGTGTTGCAATATTGAGTCTCAGTGTTTTCTCCTACACATTCAGTTCCACCGTGAGCAGGAGCAGGATTTGTGCAGGTTCTGGTTCTTGACTGGGATCCTGTTCCACATTCCTTAGAACAGTCTGACCACTCTTCATAGTCACTCCATCCGCCATCAACAGGGCAGCTTTGTGTGTTGCAATCTTGAGTCTCAGTGTTTTCTCCTACACATTCAGTTCCACCGTGAGCAGGAGCAGGATTTGTGCAGGTTCTGGTTCTTGACTGGGATCCTGTTCCACATTCCTTAGAACAGTCTGACCACTCTTCATAGTCACTCCATCCGCCATCAACAGGGCAGCTTTGTGTGTTGCAATCTTGAGTCTCAGTGTTTTCTCCTACACATTCAGTTCCACCGTGAGCAGGAGCAGGATTTTTGCAGGTTCTGGTTCTTGACTGGGATCCTGTTCCACATTCCTTAGAACAGTCTGACCACTCTCCATAGTCACTCCATCCACCATCAACTAAAATACGTAACAGTGTTATATTCGGCTTGGAACAACATTCCTAAACAAATCAGTATACCTTTTAGCCCAGAATAACGCACGACCAAGCTCCGAAATAATGATAAAGATAAATTTGTTCGATAACTTTAAAAAAATCTAAAGCGTAGGGTATTTTCAACTGACCTTTACGATTATTCTCGAGACAGCTTAAATCCACAGAGTTTACACCTTCCTTCGCTACCTTATCTCCGAAACCAGGATTCTTAAGGAAGCATCTGACAACATTGTTTTTCCAGTTCACCCCAGCGCAGGTCTGAGCACCCATACTTACACATTCGTCCACACAACCCTGAGAGGGTTATTTTATTAGTTTTTCAGCTGTCAATTCGATACAAACTTCTCATTTTGTTGTGGGTGCTTGGTGCAACCCGATATTAGTAATCCGTTATGTTGTTGTATAAATTATGATGTTATGACTATCATGTTGAACATGATTGCCCATAGATTGATTCATTATATTTAGACGAAATGAACGATACATTTTATTATGATTCACATTGTATTAACTACCACAGATTTGATTGGGTGACATCTGTCCGACAGTCGAATTACCGGTTTCGGACAAGAGTCGCTGTCAGATAGGAGTCGTTTTTGGCGACATCTGTCCAACTTTCGGATCACATTCGCAATTTCAGATCACGTTCGTATTTCACAAGCTCACGTGTAATCTTGTGACGTTGCTCCCACAGTCCTAATATAATGCTGATTTGATCCATTGAGATCTGATCCATCGATACGTGATTGACTATTTGAGGACAGGATCATGCTAGCCGTACACTAACAAGCTGTAACAGTGTAACAAGCTGCCAATCACATCACAGCCTACATTACACACAGGAGAGCGGTATGGAGATCAGTTATTTATATAACATTTAAACTATTGTCCAATTTTTGACAGCAAATGAAAATAAACTATGGTAGAGTTCAGCTCAGGTCATATCTCAGTTCAGATCATGTCTCTAATTGGAAAATGGAAATGTGTCTTATTGCAATTAGATCACAATTTCGGACAGATGTCTTTTTTTCTGGTAACATATTGAGTCGGACAAGAGTCGCTGTCGGACAGATGTCCTTTTAACTGCATCATGCATATCACCGCACAGGCTGCGCTACGGTGTCCGGTCGTTTAACTTTCGATTCAAATAATTGACAACGGCAATCCCTCCATTTTGTTCTCTGTAACGCCCCAAAGAAATTTGGTAATTTAACCAATATGAAACAATTGTTAATTGTAATTAATTACGTGGCGATGGAAATCTAGCGTCCGCTAACCGGCGCAATTCTTGTTAAGATGACTTTTAAGAATGATACTATGATAAAGCTCTTAAACCTTGATACCGCTCAGGCTATCTTTGTGGGTGTGTGTTCCTGGTAAGTTATAGCCGACGTTTGTGCATTTCCCTATTTCTGAATTCGTGTAATCTGAAATAGAATCATAAAATAGTGCATTACTCGAACTCAATCATAATTAATCATTACAGATAACAGATTACCGTAGGTGACAATATACCATTTCTTAAAACAACCTTGAAGTTCCGACTACCTTATTACACGAAATTAAGTTATATCACTCAAATAAGTTTCAATCTAGTTTTAGCGTGCTATCCCCTGCCAGAATACAATATGATCTATTCATTTTAACGCTCGGGAAGAAATAATGAAAATCACCTGGTGGAAGCTCGTCAGATGTCACCTGACCACTGCTAAAGATTGAAACCAGCAAGAACAGAAACATCTATAATCCTTCAACAAAAATCGTTGTCAAGAACGCTAAATGGGGATAACATTTCAGTTTTATTTCGTTTTCACAACTATCATATCAGTACCATATAGTTCAATTAATCTAATTCAGGAAAAAATAATTGAATAGTTGTGCAATGGATTTGATTTTGTTTCAGTTTGAAGGTTGTACTTGTAACCATTTCGTTTAAAGCACAAATCAAAATGAATATGTTCCAGTACAGAACCAACTTGATCTTATAAATCATTTATAGAACACTTTGGTGGTATATTAAACCTGACGACAATATATTAAGTGAAACTCTCGCTATTAAGACCGTTATTTTTTAAACGCAGTATGCACGTCAATACAAAAACCCATAATCTTGGGCTTTTCAACTTAAAAACTCGTTTTAAAACCTTAAAGAGTTAAAGGAAGGCAAGAGCTCTACTTCTCAACAAAATAATAAAGTAAGGTCGGTGTACTGAGAAAAGCTAAGGATCCCGTTTCCCTACCTCCTAAAGGTTGCTACTTGCTAATGTTATTGTTTGGGCCCTCCCCTCATCTCTAGCCTTGCCTAGACGTTCTATTTTTGGATCGCTTACTAGGGGTTCAAGATAATAATAGCATTAGCCCTGGTAGCAACGTGTCACGATTATTAGTAAACTAAAATTTAATAGATGACATGGCTCAGATAGTATTCAGTTTATCGTCCTACAACCTATTAAGTCCAAATCCTGTTGGAAAGTTGAAAAGTTATCCATGGTACTGAATAAACAGATGCGCTGTTGTATAATTTAACTTATTCGGTGACCTTAAACTTTCCGGAATATACTCCAGTATTGCACAAAAGAGTTGCCCGGTTTATCTAAAATTTTTGACTCAAGATTAGACACTGTGGATAAAATTATTCTTGTGTCCTTAAAAATGTGAATCCCCGGTCCCCAGGGCCTGCCCTGATCACCTCCGTGAACCAAGGTTCTGTAGCTCAGGGTTTATGATTTAGTCTGATAAAACAAAAGGTGGGTTCAAGAAGGAGACTTCGTCAGTTCCCCGTCCTATGCTATGATTTTCCTATATTTATATTACACAATACACATACCTACGTGGGCAGAAGTCACAATAGCCACTAGTTCTGCTAGCGCTAGCATGTTATCACTCCTAATGGAAACACGCGTCACAATGCATTAAATGTTGGTAAGAAGGTACATATTATCACAAGATGGGTTTCGGGTCACGATAACATGCCGGCCTAATGGTCATACGTCACACACATATCTCCATATTCACGTCGCATTCCAATCTTGCCTTTTAAAGACTAGATCCTCCTGACATTAATACTACTTGTCAGGACCTAATTCGTCAGGTCGGAGCATATTGAACGGGCTATTATTTCATTGGACGGATTTAGCTGGGTTTGTCTGACTAGTTGGTAACCCTCTTTAAATCAACCTCCAGCTCGATCTGCCAAAACTGGTGGACTACAACACGTCATATTTAACGAGATGAAGGTTGAAGAGCAACGTCAGAGGAAACGATGCACTAGGATCGACAGCAGCGCTATGAACTCCTAAAGACACTCTCTAAACTGAACTAACTTTAATGCTAATTTAGGGCTTATACCGCTCGGTAGTTGCCAGAAATTAACTAATTAGGGAAATTTCGTGACAAAAGGTTAATGTTGATCAGGTTCATTGAGCCTGTCGTACCCATTGTTTCATTTGATGAATAAACATCGATCAGGGTTTGATAGATTGTCTTTTTAATTGTCAATGACAATTGACAATAGACAGTCACCAGATGACTTCCTGTAAGAGTCTGGAATTGTAAAATCTTGCTACCAGGAAAAGTAAGACTGCGGCTGGATCGTAATGAGTAAGCCTGTAATGAGTAAATCTGTCATTAATAGGCTCATGGTAAAATCATATTGTCTCGTTAGCTCTGTCACTATCAGATCAGAGATCTATTGTGATAAGTTAAACATGATATATCATGATATACTGATCTTACCGAATTATTTAATTAACTGTATGGCTCGCTTTAAGAAGGGGGAGGAGGGGGGTCTTGTTTCTGATAGAGAGGAGTGATATCTACCATACAGTTGCTTTTGCTCATATAGAAAAATATTGTTCCAAGGCAAGCCGAAGTTATCGCCTGCCAAAGGTCAGCGCTTTTAATGTGAAATTGTATTGCACGATCGATTTTCAAACAACAAAAAGACTTACTGGATGTGGGGAAGTTTCGATAGTCTGTGCGTGAGGCCGTGAGCTGGTTTATGTATATGAGCTACGTGAGGGATTAGTCGCATGAGGCTGCTAACGCTCTGAAAAAGGAAAGAGACCGAGGAGAGATCCTTCGTAGGGAGTAGACATGATTCTATTAAAGCTATGATTGCTTGATATCATTCACAAAGTATGGGAAGCCCACAAACATTAACAACAGCTTGGTTCAACCACAATCCACGTTTGTAGTGCACTATGTGCATCCAATACAAGGATAGAATCATGTCATGTTCAGGGAGGCTGCTGTGGATACAACATACCCCACAAATTTCAATAAGTTATTATGAGAACCTCAATAAATTCGCTAACTGAAATTGTATGGAAATTACCTAATACGGAGCAGGTGGGTTGAAGTTACACTGTTCTGATGTGTAGATAAGGACAGTGTCTACTCTCTACCTTCCATTAAAATATTCGCTGTGGGTATGTCTTTATAACGAATCAATATCCCTGATTCTTTCTAAATATGTACTTTTCGCTTCTGGCTATTTCTTACTCAATAATTCTCTGATGATGTTTTCTGTCCCTGTGTTATTTGCGGTTTATTCGTTTCTTTTCAAAAACTGCAATGGTGTATCGTTCGGAACAGGTAGAACGGCTAAGCAATTTTCGTGCAATACTAAATGCAATATGTCATTATTACGAGGTTAGTATTTAATAAGTATGGGTTGACAGCTAATAGTTGACTTGAAAGTACTTCAGTGGCGATGGCTACATTTTAAATTGCATCGTCGGTGTATAACTGCAACGAGACTGACCATTTATGTCTCAATCAATAATTTATGGAAGCAAATTATTTGGGTTCAAGTACACCATGTTCCTCTCTAACTCAAATACTCTTACTTATATCGTCACTAGACACTAACTTCATAACCATACCAACCATACGATACCAATTCTCCTGTGTTTCAAATGAGACGTCATGTTCAGGTTTTTCGACTTTTTATTGGATCTATCCGGGTAACTATAATCGCCCCACATTTAGCAACACCCCCACAATAACCACATTGGTGTTCAAAAGATCAAAGAGTCTACGAAACCATCCCGCCTAATACTAGTATTCCACAACTACTACAACAGCTATTGAGTTTTGTGGTTGAAATACGGAATTATCCCGCAAGCTTGATGTGTCGTATATTACAGTCCATGTTAAGAATTATTTTTATATTAAAGTCTCTTTGACAGTTACTACTTAATTGCAACGATATCTTGACAGATGCGATCTAAGATCTTCTATTTAAATGGTCGTTCTCAACAAGTTTCGGATAAGTTCTGGACATAATGCAGGTGTTTTAGACACTAGACATAATGCAGGTGTTTTAGACACTAGACATAATGCAGGTGTTTTAGACACTAGACAGGTTGGAGTAATTTAAAAGGCGGGGGACAGGTCCTGGACCAGTTGATGTATTAGTACGACAAGTCTGTGCTAGCGTGTAGCGTCATGGTGCGGCCCCCAAGTCGTGACGATTTTAATTTTAATTTCAATTTTAAGAAATAATTTTCGGTTCAGCTTATCATTTGTTGGTCTAAGACAAGAAATATCAATATCTTTAATATCATAGTCTCGTCTCGTATATGACGGTCGATGATTGCACCATGATTTTTGTGAATAGTGTAAAATCGAGAGTTTTTATTATGGAACGCGCGAAGTAGCGGTTTGTGTGTTAAGTTGATGTAACTTTATAGGCAGCCACTATAACAGAAAGCCTTGCGCGTACAATCTGTGCGTACAGAAGGTACGCGCGTTTACTACCTTAATGGGGTAATAATGTAATTGGTTAAGTTTTGTGAATTGTGGCCCTAGTTTCCATAGAAACGATGTATAAATCTTTACAATATCCAGCAGATTGTATCAAGGATGACGTAAACTAGGTGTCAGGTGATCTATTTCTTACGCTAGACTGATAATTAGTAATTGAATAAACTAGTTTCAATCACGGGTCGGCAGAAAGCCAAATTAATTGTGTATGGGACACACGGTTGGTCATTGGCGTTGGATTGTAGTAATTACGTTAGGATTTTTAACCATATGAAATTAAAGTAAAATGCAACATGTAAGCGCATCACAATTCAGCAATTCACAACCCGCATGCTAATTAAATTGCACTTCACAGTTCACACTCCTAAACCTGCCAATTTCAGTGCTGTGTCCCGGACCGACCACAAATGGTTAGATTAAGCGACGATAGAGGTTAGCAATTTGTTTGGTTCGGATCTCAAATTTCAACTGTAACCTTTCTTTTGTTTTAGGTGTGAATTCTTAAAATTTTAAACAAATATTTACTGAGATTTGAGGCTAAGTGCTAACCATGTTAAATTAGAATATAAATAATCTCTTTTAATCGAAAACCCAAAAATAAGGTTACGTCCATTTCAGAAGTAGAAATTGCTCACCCAGCAGTGTATTTTGCCACTCGCCTTCATGATCACCTATCAGATAGTGATGTTTCTGATATGCTCTACATCATTCTGATGAGGAGAGAGGTGAGTCTATCTCAGATTACCATGTGACTGTTGCCAAACATCACACATGACGATATTCATTATAGCCTTTCTTTTTTGTACCATTTTCACGTTTACCTCAAAACCTCCAATGTTTAGAAGATTGCACATAAGCGTGACTACAGACAGCAATGTACTAATCTGATTGGAATCTGCTAACTAATTAGCACAAAGTTGTCTTCCCTTCTCAGTCTTGGTCAATCACATTACATTTATTGGTTAACTTCAGATCATGCTGAATTAAGTTGACTATGATCAACATGTTTAAATTGATATTCAATGAAGTAAACTTTTCGATAGGTAGATTTGGGGGAGATAGCTTACAACTACAAAACCAAGTTCTCAGAATCTCTGTGGGACCACTTCTCTGAGTCCTACCCTCACTTACAACTCCTAGACCTGTCACCTGTCAAGAGGGTAAGCCGGCTTGTATTTATTAGTTTTTTAGTGTACTACTTTTACCTTCCACATCAGCTCGTTTGAACGACCGAATTTGTGACCTGAAATTAAAATGAAGTAGAATGTCGAGGGATTGTAATTAGTTTTAGACAGTTCGTCACCAGACTAGACGGTCCTCGGAGGACCGCACTAATTAACTTTAGGTTATTCTTTTTATCGCTCGTCATATTATGTTGTAACCACTTTAAAATCTCCTACAACATTAACTTTATTTCAGCCAAGCGACAATTGCTCTCATAATTACGAATTGGAGATTGTGCAATCAGAAGTTATCCTCGATAATTCCTCAACCACTGCCACAGAAAACGGTAAACACAATTTGTTTTTGAAGTGATCGCTTTATAACCAATGATATCTTATCTAGATTTGAATATTATCGACAATCGACATAACCCTGGTCGGATAAGACAAGGAATTTAACGATTCAACGACTGACATACTTCATACTTATTGTCATTCGCCGATATAATCTTCTTTTCAGGAGCAGTAGAAGTTCCTACAAATGATGTTTCCTTCGAAAGTGATGAATCACCCAAAGCTCTAGTTCTAGAAGATTCTCCTCCCGAACACTCCTTGGCTCTAGATTCGAGTTCAGGCCCCATTTCTGAACCAAGTCCTCTCGTCACTCCTGCCCCTCCTCCAAATTCTCTTCCAGCGCACGATCCATTAGTTCATCTTACTCCTGTACTTGTTGCCGAGAACAAGCTAACGGAGGTACCAACAGCCAATGTTACGGTAGACGTTATCAACTGTAAACCCTCTAACTCTGATGTCATAGAAGATTTTGATGAGGTTGCGGAATGTGAGCAAGTGGTGGAGCATGAAGAGGTCGCAGAATTTGAGGAGGTCGCGGAACTACAGGAGGTCAAGGAAATCGAGCAGCTCCCAGAGGAGATGCAGAGCACTGCCACAAACTCAAAGATGGTGATATCTTTTGAAGGTTCGTTTCATTGCATGAAATCCAAACCATGATATACATGCTTAGTTGAATTTGTGATGCGCTGAATACTTGAATTATCTGACATACAGGGTGGCCCATAAGTGACTACCCACACGCAACCTCTTAATAACTCACGTAATTCGTCTCCAAATTGCACCAAAATTTCAGAGATTATAGATATGGGTCAAACTTAGATTTCCTGAAAGTTTCGTAAGCCACGCCCAATTACAGTGGGCGTGGCGTGACACTCCCTCTTTTTCACTATTGTCTTCATAAAATGAGAACGCTTTAAGCTAAGAACTCAAACTTTTTTGCACACATTTGGCTTGATAATTGAAAACTTTTCCCAAAGTTTCAAGTTCATTGGTTAAAATATGGCTAAGTTATGACCATTTCAAAACTCATCGGATACGTGATCCGAGCACTCAGTCAGTGATCTCGTCACTTGGTTAATGGCCTGTTTGGCTCACATGCACCGCTTGATTGGTTGCAGCCTGCTTATGGGCCGGCCTATACAGCTGACAGCACCTAAAACGCTATCACACGAATTTATGGTGGTGTCACCATTTCAGGGCTTGTTAGCCCTGCTAGTCACAGGTTCCTTACAATCAATAAAAAGGAATGAACCATCCATTGAATCATCGAAAATGGTTCACTATCCTCCCTTTACTGCAGAACAACGATTGTTCGTCTACCTGAAGACTGAAAATGGGGTGTTCTACCCTCAGATTAAACGACAATTTCAGATGAAATTCAACCGACCACCCCCTTGCCGGAAAAGCTGCTTTGACATTCATCACAAGATCAAGTTTACGTTTTCTGCACACGATCGGCGAAGAGTCGGCAGAAGACGAACTTCAAGGACTGTAGAAAACATCACGATGGTTGTTGGTGACGTGATGGACACACCTAAGATTGGCACCCGGAAACGAGCTCCTGCCTTAGACATCAGCAGAACAACCCTTCAGCGAATCCTAAAGCAAGACCTTTCTAACCGGGCCTACCGAATCACAAAGAAACACAAACTTTTGGACCGTGATTTCCAATCGAGGATAGATTTCGCCAACACATTCCTGTCGAAGCAGAATGTGGATCCCTACTTTGAGGTTGATTTCATTTATTGATTTATCCTAAAAATTTGTGTTTTCCTTTCTAGCAAAGTCATCATCGGTATCCAATCAAAGCCTAATGAACCTCATTAATACACGCTAACGCCTTACTCTTGATCAGATTGGGTGACGAGATCACTAATTGAGTGCAAATATCACTGACTGAGTGCTCGGATCACATATCCGATGGATTTTTAAATGGTCATAACTCAGCCATATTTTAACCAATGAACTTGAAACTTTTGGAAAAGTTTTCAATTATCAAGCCAAATGTGTGCAAAAAAGTTTGAGTTCTTAGCTTAAAGCGTTCTCATTTTATGAAGACAATAGTGAAAAAGAGGGAGAGTAGTATTATTCCAATTCATGTTTTAATGTTATCACAATGATAATATTTGTAATATCATTTTCAGATCATTTGAAAATCTTGTACGATGTCCTCTCTGAAATCACGCCCAATGTTGAGAATATCAGCCTTGCTTTGGTGGATGTCGTGTCTCATGGGCACCACGACATCGTACACCATTATTCAGACACCTATTGCCAGGATTTGTTAAAGTCGCTCCAAGAAAAGTTACCAGAGGATGCTTTCAAAGCTGCACAGTATCTTCTTTTAAGATATCTAAAAGCATCTGCTTTGCTTTTGAATGAGGCTATCACCGTTAGTAAACAGTTTTAGTAATAAATGCTTTCCATTTTGATTTCATTTATTTCTTGAGAGATTATTTTTTCCGTTCACCCTTTTGTAAAAAGGCAATAGTGAAAGGTTACGAATGGACGTTTTTGCAGAAAAACGTGGATTTTGGAGATAGCAGTAGGTGGGTTAAAATATGATGTCATTCTTTCCTTCCGTTAGTTACCATGACAACTAGAGCGCAGTGCAGCGCGCGAGTATTGCTTGCGGAGATGTGATGTATATAGCTAGCCTGTCAATGAATGCGCGGCGCGAGTGTATTTTAATGTATACTATGCAATATATAGTATTGGGTTATAAGCCCAATTTGTACGGGGCATGCGTAGTATAGTGTACTGATGTGTATCAATATTATTATTATGAAGCGAGCTGATTGGAGCTTAAATTCATTTTAGTTACAATAGTGAACGGAAATCTAGCGTCCGCCAAAACGAAACAACGGGCGCAATTCTTGTTGTCTTTATGTACTGCCGTTTTCTGAAAAATGTGCTTAAAGACCATTTTTGGAATTCTAAATTCAGTAACCCAAATTTATTTTTAGGGTCAATAACTATCCCAGCCATTGGAAACCATTAGAACCAATCGCTAGCCCCAGAGGCCAGAAATCACTTTTGAAACTGCTTAAAATGCCACAAGTTGTCATAAATGTCAAATGTGTTAAAAGTGCTTGAAAACCTCGGATTTTGAGTGGTCTTTAAGCACTTTTGTCAGAAGACGGAAGACTATAAAAGGACATTGTTAACCGCAGCTTGATTACATTTTAGCACCCTAATACTAATAGAAATTTCATTATCAGGAAAATGATCACTCAACAGTGGACCAGATACTTATGGTTCTTCTGTGTTCTTCGACCAAACAAGTCAGAGATATCGTCAAAGAATTTCCCATATCAACATGTAACAAACTTCAGAATTAAACGAACATTTTATTAGAACTTTGGCTGTTCACAGCCAAAACCTTACTATACGCATTTGTTGTGACTAAAGAAATTTTCCACGACTTTCCGTTCTTAGATTTTCTTTTGTTACTGTAATAAGTATCACTGCAGCGGAAAGGCGGAGTTTGAGCGAGGTCTTGACTGAGAATCTGCTTGGAGAATTCCAAAGATTCATCGCAGCCTTATTAAAGGTACCAAATACGAACTAACCTATCGTTAAAATATGAGAATTCTTGTCAGAATTGTGAACGCTTGCTTAACCCCCAAAAGTTTCCTATCTGCTTATGAATCTTTATCATGTTTATATTAATCAGGGTGATCGAGACGAAGATTCTACAACGAATGAGACTGTCGCAAAATCAGATGCTTGCAGACTTCATAAGGTAGTTTTATTTTCAAATAGTAGGCTTCCCGAAATAGTTCGTATCCGCAGACTTCGTATCCGCACAGAAATCCCGAATGTGTGGACAGAAATTTCACTATTCTTCTGAACCAACCTGAACTTATAATACATATTATATTCAAAGTTTTGATCTGTACAGGCCACCGACTTCAAGTGGGATGGAGAAGATAACGTATTTAACGAGGTGTTTATCAAGCGTAATATGAAACAACTCAAGTTAACCTTTACACTGTTCTCCGAGGTGAGTACCTTTTGTTTCAAGCGTAATATGAAACAACTCAAGTTAACCTTTACACTGTTCTCCGAGGTGAGTACCTTTTGTTTCTTATAATCGAGGGGTGTACAGCATTTTGATCTGAGGAGGTTTTATTCTCAACACTAAGCCATCAACCGTCAACGTGACTTTATGTCCACACCAAAACATAACCCAGACTCCATACCCGGACAATTTTTGTTGTTGATATAAAGCTGCTTGCCACTTAGGTCCAGTATCATTATAATACATAACGCCGGACTTCTAGGCATGGTGCTTGGTCATGTGGGACACACTCAACTAAGTAAGGTTGAGATACCTGAAAACTCCCTAATATAAAGAGATATCAACAGAGTGTGAGCCACTGCCTGACTAACCTGTGATTAGAGTCTGCTAGACTCTTTGATTGTGGCAGAGAGTATCTTCTGAGTTGTTGAGATTCTGAGTATCCTTTGTCCGTGGTGCTGGTTATAAGCTCTTGTTGTAGGTGAAGGATGTTAGAAGGATAATTGCTGACACCAAAATCACGTGATGTAGTCACGTGTTAAAGATGCCTCGTGTAGCAAAATTAATGGAAAATATAGATGTGGATAAATAATTATCCTTGCAGGTAATTGACACTGTTGTACCGTGTGAACGGATGTAAATCCGAGAGAGATGCTCTGTTAATGACTTAATCATCCTAGAACTAGGTGCAGAGTAAAAACACAAAGTACCTTACAAGACATATTTATGGCGGCCTAATTTGCGACGACCGAAATTTTGGCGGTCCGAAAATATGGCGAAATTGAACAAAAACCGTCAAATTTCGGACGTCACAGAAAATAAGGGTATTTTTCATCATTTTTTGTGACAGTAAGCAGTAAGGAAATTTCTGAAATCCGGTAAAATCATGTTCAAACTTAGTCTGTATTAAGACTGTAAGACTTTCATGTTAGCACATACATGTATTTTAATGCAAATTTAAACTGTATTGCTTGACATTCAATTCGTCATTGGTGTGGTGATAATTTGTCCCAAGATGCCAGAATCTATTCATTTATTTTACTTGATATAACTTTTTAGAAACAAAATAAAGCAGTGAAGGCACAGTCATTGAAATAAGCTAAAAGATAATGCGACGGATTCTATTACGACGACCGAAATTTTGGCGGTCCGAAAATATGGCGAAATTTTCGGAAAACCGCCACATTTCGTACGTTATAAATATGTCTTGTAAGGTACTGCTCAATAGTCAATACCGTGAGGTAATTAAATTAGTTAAAGATAAGTGGAGAACTTAAAGCAATTATCTAGGAACCATACCGCAATATAAACATTAAAGAGTAAAGTGGGTATAATTGCAGAGAGAGTTACAAAAATACTTCCAAATAGTATATATTATATATAACTATTAGGTTGAAACTATGTCTCAACATAGAGGGTCTAATTGTCAAGAGGGTCTATTTATTTATTATTATTATAAAGGGTCTCAATAAGAGGTCTCGACTGCCTAGGCGTCAAACCTTGGCAGTCGGTAGTTTTCCTCTGGCCCGGGATCAGCTGACCCTAGGGACCAGAGGGTAAAGGTGTAGAGACTATGTGTATCCACAAATCTTTCGAGGTTGTTTTTACAAGAGACAGGGCTTGCTACGCAAGGGAAGAAAACCGAGAGAAACAATCACAAATTATACAAATAAATATTATAAAACCTAGCAAAAAGAAATTCAAACAATCCTACACTACTACAAATGTTAATACATACTACAATGTAATACACGATAAATAAATGCTGTATAATCAAGAAACAGGGCTTGCAGGGCAAGGGACGGAACACAGGGACTGGTTACAGAGTGTATAAAACAGTGATTCAGCAAGTACCCATTGGGTATTGCTGAATCTGACCCACAAAATACCACAATCAATACAAGAATATACAATATTTAAACAAACATCATGTTTATACAAGAATCAGGGCATGCAGAGCAAGAGAAGAAAAATAAGAGAAAAACTCCAACACATGTATACCCCTTAGTCCAGTAAATAACAATAATTACTTGTACACAAAACTGTATAATATAAAATACATAACAAATACACAGTCTACCCAATATACGGGTTAAAAATTGTATAAACAAGAGACAGGGCTTGCATAGCAAGGGAAGAAATATAAGAGGACCAGGTAAAAAGTGTATATTACAGTATCCAGTGAAGAATAAACTAAATATAGAGTATCTACAGTGTATTATACTCTCAATAATATCATATGTCTATTGTCTAAGACCATCCTGAGAATTCTGGCTGATCCAAGCAGAGCTGTCTTCTGGAGATTAGAGATGCTCAGATTGCAGTGGACTGCGTCGAGGTGTTTACGAAAGTTAATGGTGATAGTTCCTAATGCGCCTATCACCACAGGGACGATTGTGACCTTTCGTAAATTCCAGTTCTTCTTAATTTCTCTTTTTAGGTCTTGATATTTCAGTATCTTTTCTTGTTCTCTATCCAGGATCCGGGTATCTCCTGGGACTGCAACGTCAATGATGGTTGCTGCGTTGGTTACCTTGTCTACCAGGAGGAGATCCGGTCTGCAGTGTTCGATAACGTGGTCCGACTGGACATGGAAGTCCCACAATATCTTGACTTTTTCGTTCTCCAGCACCTTCTCTGCCCGGTGTTCGTACCACCTTTTACTGCGTGGGAAGCCGTATTCCTTGCACAGACTCCAGTGCAATGCGGCAGCTACTTTGTCATGCCGACACTTATATTCTGTCTGTGAAAGTTTTGGGCACCCATTCAGTATGTGGTCTATTGTCTCGTAATGATTTCTGCAGAGTCTGCAGAGGGGAGAAGAGCCAGGTGTTTTGTCAATCCTGTGCTTCACATAATTCGTCCTAAGTGCTTGGTCTTGGGCTGCTATCAACAATCCTTCTGTCTCCTTCTTCAAGTCTTGTTGAGTGAGCCAGTCCCAAGAGGTTAACGGGTCCGCTCTGCCGTTTTCTGACAAAAGTGCTTAAGTAACATTTTGGAAATTTCGGGTTTTTTGGTCTAACTTTTGTTTTTGGGTCAAGAACTATCCCTGAGGACCATTGGATACATTCGCCGACCCCCCAAAACCCCCTTTTTGGAACCCCATAAAATGCAAAAAATGGTCATTTTTCTGAGAAAAGTGCTTAAGTAACATTTTGTAAAACGGGTGCCATTTATTTCAAAAATGGTGCCATTTTGGGAACTGAAAATGGTGGCATTGTTTTCTACGTCAAAAACTGGCCTAGTGACGGCAATTTGGTGATCGTGGGTCTTTTGGCCTGGGAAAAAACAATTTATGTCACTTAAGCACTTTTGTGAAAACGGGCTCGTTTTCTCACAAAAGTGCTTAAGTGCCATTATGCGTTTAATTAAATGTTGATTCTGCCAACTGAAACTATATAATCGGTACTAACAAATCTAAATTTTCACGGCGGATCGATTGGTGATGGTCATAAACTTCAGAAACGCTTGCTTCGCCGTCAAAATTGCCGATTTGTCAATGCAGAACTTTTCAAAATATACGTCATAATTTGCTTTAAAATGTTGTATTCTCTTATAAGTTGAGACTGGCGGGATTATCGACAGGCAAGGGAACATTACCAAAGAGATAGAAGCGATTTGCTTCACTGCTCCTTCTCTGTTGATATGGAGAAAGTTCTTTTACTACCACACATGCCGGAGTACAAGGAGGCGATTTTTACAAGACGCCTTGTCACATTTAACGAGACCTTCGCGAGGCTGGGGTCAGACGGAGCTCCTTTAGCGATTCTTTGAAATGAGTCAATCGCAGGAAGGAAAGATGAGAATGTGTCCTCGACTTGGATAAGGGCAATAAAACATTTTGCCAGTTGGCAAGATTGGTGGTAGCAAGGAGATCATTTTTTGGGCAGACAATTGTTCTGCTCAAAACAAGTGTTGGACTCTATTTACTGCCCTATGTTCATCAACAGCCCAGATGTTGACCTGGACAAGATAACGGTCAAGTATCTAAAGCCAGTGCACACCGTTATGAGTGCAGACTCATTCCACCATAAAGTGGAGTTGTCAATTAAACAATCAGGTCAACTTCATGATTATAAGGACTTTGTTCAGGCAGTTGAACAGGTGGGTACTGCGATAAGCATGAACTGCACAGACTTTGAATCGTGGCCAAGGTCCTACGGAACAAGCAACTAAAAAACTAAAGATGTTAAAGTTGTAAGTTTCCAGCGTGGGTCTGTAGAAATGGAATGGAAAACAAATCATGACGAGGTTTCCTTTCATTTCACTCCATTTCTCAGACAAAAAGACGAGAGACTCATTTCCAATTTCCATAGGTTGAAAAATAGCTTTCGCCCAGGAAGAGCCCCGGGGGATAGCTACTCCCAAAAAACAAGACATTATATGGTCAAGTTCGGAGACAACCTGTACATAAAATCAGTCACTAATTACACTCATTTCACTGCCATGAACGGTAAAATTAATTATAATTCCTCTGACAGTCCAAGGGGTACAGGCTCTTCAGATATTATACTCCTAACCTTTCTATAATGATATCTGGGTTCAAAATTTAAATAACTCAACCTTGGTGGAGACAGTGGCCACCTGAAAATTACAAAAATAAAGGAGCTGTAAATCACTTATGAAAAAATGTTTACTCCAAATTTCACAATTTAAAGTTACGTAAGACAGGTGGGTTCTCAAAAAGTGCCGGTTGAGCAGGTTTGTCTGCTCAACACAGGTGGAGCAGCTCACTGACTACATGAGCTAATATAAGTGACTAGAACTAACCCTCTCATGCTTTTTAATTGCTCCAAAGTCCTAATATTTAATATTATGGGTTATACCAATCATATTTCATAGAATAGGATCCTCAGAATCGGCTCAACCGAGGTGGAGACAGCATAACATGCAGTTCAAAATCTGTTATTCTGTAGTTTAGGAGCTGTAGAGTGACTGTGGCAGTCCATTTGCAATATACCAATGATTCTAAATCATCTACC